TTTTCTCATGGCTGATTCAATTACTCACTAAAATTTACTTGAAATTTATCATTCATACAAATCAGCTGTATGGACAGGTATACAATATTGACTTTCCATGTCACTGTTCTAATATAGCTACTCGCTGTTACTCATTGAACTTATTTAGTTTTACCATAAATTCTTAACTTGCATAGTTGATTGATTTCACTATGGTAATTTGTAAACTGTATTAATAAGTGCGAAATGTTGCTTTTTTTAAAAAATGAATCTAACATATCACAAACCAGTTGAATCAAAAAATAAATTTGTTCATAAGTCTCTTATTCATCTGAAATCATAATGACTAATTAAAACTTACTTTTATTATGATAATTAAGGTGTATATTTTAAAAATACTTGACAAAACTGTTAGCTGTAGGTTTTATTCGTCATAAATTGATTCCAGTGAAGCCACCATTTCAAAATAAGAAGCATCGAACAGCTTTAACGTCCCAGAAGGGCACCTTATGGTGTCGTATATCCATATCCATACAGGAGATAGAACCTAAAACCTTTAGGTCTTCCAATTAATGCGTAACTATTACAACTAGTGGTGTAGTTTCAACCTTAATCAATTTGTGATATAGTATGGTAAAGTAATGCCATTAATTCTGAGGGTTTAGTGTTCGCTGTAAAATCTGAAGGTTTTGGGCTTGATTCGTTGTGAGGTCGTCGGGTGCACTTTACTAAAGAGTCTCACCTATTCAGTTGTACAACATGACTGATATAACAATTCAAAATATGCATTTTATGTAATAGTAATTATGAAGCAAGCCAAAATCACTAGAATTAAGAAGAAACAATTGTTCACTTCCGCCTATGAGGAATCAGTTGGTAACAGTTTGCTATTAAAATAAAATAAGGAATACGATTGTTACTAAAATTACTCGAATAAACTGATTCAGGTCTTTAATCGTGTAAATATTACTTTGTATAACAGTTTTATTGCAAAGTACTCTGGATTATTTCTGTCATTATTTCTATCGTTCAAATGGCCTTGAACTTATGAAGAAGTGCAATCAGTGAACTAACCTTATATTGAAGACATATATCACTCAAAGTAAAGTTTAGATAACTAAATTTTGTTAATAAATATATCTCTGAAACATAAGAATTCGTTTTGGAGATACACTATCGATAAACAGTAGTCCTTAGACAATCAGTAGACAATGATAAACGTCTATGAAAAAATTACTGTCCATCATACTGACTCCGCACAACACCACGTATTCCTCAGTCTACTTTGACTTTATCCTAGATTCTGTTATGATATCGAAAAGGATATTATAATGTTAGGCGATATTCAAATTATATGAAATATACTTCAGCTTGTACCGTTTTTTCGATAAATGATTCAACAAATTTCAAGCTAATAGATGACCTGTGCGACTGTTTTTTATGCATATTCACGATTTCAGTAGTCTCTGTTATATACCACTCTATTTAAGCAATCTCCATAAGACAGTTCTTTTAAAAATCCACTCAGTTATTTGAAGTATTTGATAGCAATATTATTTGGTAAGATTATGAAAAAAAGAACGTTTGCTGTTTCTGAGAATAATGTTAATTTTTATTTTATGGAGAGAAATACACTTTTTCATCTAATGCGAAAAGCCTTCCTTAGCATAATGTACATTAAAATACTTCCGGACCAACCTGATATTTTTATTCATATTTAACTGATACACACTATCATCATTGTGTGTTTCTTTTTTCGCAATGCTAAAGTAACGACATTTAATGATTTCAGCAGAAGAATAATAACAACACAAGACCTGAAAACTTATAAATCATTCATCTTATTTCGTACTAATTAACTGAAATGAGTCGACAGTTTCCAGATTATATAATACTTGTCAATCAAGTTTATATGTATAACAAGAAAACGCCTGAAGATTAGCATTTCTATTGAACAAGAAAGAAGACAACTAGGGAATAACTTATCATGCAACAATGTCGATATGCTTGACTTAATATAAACAAAATATTATATACTGATTATAATTTCCAATTTGCTTAAACGCCTAACATCTGTCACATTTTAATTGAAAAAAACCCAGTTTCTTTGCTAAATTTACAAGTTATCATTGCTGTATTATTTTTCATGGACGTCAGTAAAATGACAGTACAATCATGATGATATTAGGGTAAAGTAGATTGACAAGCGAAACTTTTTTCTTCAAGATTTTCAATCAGTAAATACTACATAATCTACATTCTTTGATAACATCAAAAAGTGTTCATTGTTTTCCACTGATCAAAAATGTGATAGGGTCTATTACGTTGCGATATTAATTGCTTTCCAAATTATCTTATTTTAGACAAAATAATCTTTATCTCTTTTATGATTACAACGAAGCTGTCCTAACTAACTAACTAACTATTGACAACAATAAACTTTTTACAGATAACGGAATTTGATTTTGAAACATTCTTTGGCTGTAAACGAATTTCCAATTCGAAAGTGCTTGTGTTTTATTAAAAATTTCAATTGCCTGATATTGCTTTTTACACATTTTGAAACCATGCATCGATCAATGTTAGACCATCATTAGAAACCTGAAAGCACAGATTCAGTGTGACAGCAGTATAGAAAATACATGCTGAATTGTGTTAATTGATGATTAGACTTTTATCAACTATTCACTTAACACACGTATAATTTATGTATTTTTAACCGATTATCCAATCGTAATATACAACATGAGCTTAGATAAGTTGGTTTTTAAAATATATATATATATTACTACGTCGTTTTCCAAGGAAACAAGTGAGTAACAAGCTGGATAAACTTTAGTAAACTAGTCAATGACACATCAAAAAAAAAGCGTTTATTAGATATTCAATCACTGACTATTTTTAGTAGCATTAGTTCTTATCTACAAACTCTTACCTAACAAATCACTTTCTTACGATAAACAAAGGAATTTTCAGTTCTGTTATTCTCTCTCTCTCTCAAAAAAAAGAAAGAAGAAAACCGATACTACTGATAAGTAAGAATTTTTTTCAAAAAATAAATTGGTGAAATGTAGCGTCATCATACACATATATACATATAGATATATATCCTGTAGAATCTAGTAAAATTCCTAATTTATACTTCACAGAATCCATCAATTAAACTTCTTGTTACTATAGTAACACTGGTAGTTTTGTACATCAGATTTTTAAAATTATTGATAAAGAGGATAAATAAAATTCAGTAGTGTTAGTTTTTTTGTAAAAAAAAATCAAAGTTACTTTACGTTGATGCAAAGTTGGTTGACAAACGGAACATTGAAATATTTATTTAATGGTATAACTTTAGTAGATAAACTGTTGTTATGCTCGACTCTAGGTATGCTTAAACAATATTACGAGTTCACCTTCGTCGAATAACGAGGACAAAACAATGAACTAGAGTCCAAGTAGGCTACTGTTATCGCTTGACCAAATTGTATCAGCAGGAAGTCTTGATATAGTATAGAAATTGTATTCTACAAACACCCAGCAAGCACACAATGAATCCAAGCACTCAAATTGCGTTTATTTATACTCTATAGAGACGTCCTTGGGACAGTCACAAAAATAGCACACTAAAACGACACAGTAACCAATCACAGCCAAGGATTTTCCTGGTAGGAAATATGATCTCACGGTCAACTGATAGGTCCATGAAATAAATCCAAAATAAAGATATTTATCAAGCGAGTTCTGAGGATCTAACATCCCCAACATCTGTGTCCTAAATTATGACATTGAAATTTTCAAAAACTGCAACAGCTTGCTTCATGATTGAAGACAACTACAAGATAGGATTTTGAGTTCGTTGTGTTTCGATTTTTAATAACATCAAAACAATCGGTTACTGCAATTTAATTATATACAGGGTATTTGAAACTTCTGAGCAATGCTCACCAACGATCTTGTCAACTTTTTCTAAACAAATTAATATACTTAAAGATATTGTTTGATAGCTTAATCATTTTAACTTACTGTCAGCTGAATAACATGGAAATCTGGATATTAATTTTTTCTAAATTACAAATCTTAAATTATAAAGTTCAAAAAATACTTATTGTTATTGTCAAATGATGTAAAAATATCTGGTGATGAGTTACTCAAAATCCTTCTATAAGTAAGCTAAATAACTATCAATCAATCAGTCAATTCTCAACATTATATTGGTTTTCAATTGTACTTTGGAAACTGTTAACATTGACTATGTCAAAAACCGATTTTCTTACTATTAGCCTATGGTAATTTTTTGCAATCATTCACACATTTGAAATAAATATTTCTATTTAATTGTTACAACTTAACTGGATAGTATAATACATAACCGCAAAATATAAATTAATGTGGTTTAAGAACAACATAACCTTGAAAATCTTGAGCTTTATAAAATGATTAGCGATCCATGAACTGTGATAAAAAAACAAGTTTATGCTCGTCAATTGATGCACGAGATCACCTTTCTGTGCAAACTGAGCTAAGACAAATGATCCAATGACATGATAGGCTACTCTAATCCGAGTCTCAAGGCCCCATTAAGTAGAGGAAGAAGTCTTGACAAGACGTAGAAAGTATGTTCTACATGCACCCGGAAAATATGAGGTTGACAATCATAAAAATCGAGTTTATTTATGCATGGTAGAAAGGTCCCTGGGAGAGCTACAAAAATAGCGTACTAAACTAACACATCAACCAATGACATTCAATGATTTTTGAGTGGGAAATGCAATCTCAAGGTCAACCGATCAGTCCATGTGAGAAAGCATAAAATTCAAAATTAGGACTTTCATCAAGTGAGTTCTGGGGATCTAACGTCCCCAACAAAAATATAACCCGACTTGTAAATAAATGAAATTGTTAACGTGTAGATGTTTAGTTACAACTAAACTAAAATAGTGCATTCTAACTTGACTGTGAACAATATACTGATTATAATTTAAATAATAAACTGTTTTATTTTATTCCACAAATATAATAAATTTAAGGAGACCAAAGATCTCTTGCCCACAATGAATCCAGATGAAGAAATTAGCCTTGATAGCTTTTTTCAAATGGCTGGAATGGATTCATCTCAATTAGAGGCGTTATGTGGTCCAATAACATCAACAACAACTCCAGATGACGTGCATATTTCTTTAGCTGAGAAAAATGCTTCATTTACACACCAACTGCAATCAACGGATACAGAAGAAACAATTAATCATATTAAAGCACGTTATGAAGCAGAAATCGCAAGTTATAAGAGAAAATTATCCAGTTATCAAGATGGACAACAGAAACAAGCGCAACTTATACAAAAATTACAAGCAAAAGTAAGTTTATCATTTATGTCAGAATAAGAGAAAGGAAAATGTTGGTAACTCAATAATGTTTCATTGAAAATATCCTCAGAACAAAAACCATCTAGGTCGAAAGTTATGACAAGAAAACTAGGCATCATCGGTAACGAAAATGTATAAATGTTCGGTAATTAAACATAGAAAACCTCTATATTTAACTAATATTCATTATGAAACTACCGCCCAATCAATCTGTTGAGAAGTAAACATTTAATTAATTATCCAATAATAAAGTGATTACTTAAACTTCATGTATAGTAGTTATCATTTCTTGCTTCAAAATTTAACTCAATTATACTTTTGATCATATTTACAATGAAAATAAATCCGATTCATGAAAATTCTCATACGTATACAATTAGGTGGATTGTTAGTTTCGTATTCCGTAACAGTGTCAGATATCAAGTGATTTTTATTTATGAACAATTCTTTATTAAGACAACAAAATCAATTGTGCTTCAGCAATTATAAAAGGTATTTATATCTATCAGTATTGATAAACTAATCATTTACACTTTTCATGATTCAAATTAAGAATCGATCATTGTTAGACCACCATTAGAAACCTGTAAGCACTGGACAGCCATTTCGTCCTGGTATGGGTCTCATCACCAGTGGGCATGCCCAAACCATGCTCGCGGGAATCGATCCCGGTACCGTCAGTCTTATGAGCGAACGACTAAGCTCTAGACCACTGAGGCGGCATCTAACAGTGTTAATTTGTAGCTTTGATTAGTCCTTGATATTACGCTACCTCACCCATTGTCTTCGGTAGTTACTGCTTACACTCGACAGGGTTAAACTCCACTGGTCACAGCTTCTGACTAGAACTCCGAGAATTTCCTCACAAAGCTAGTCACTAGTGAGCATATTTTATTTCATCTATATTAACTTAATTATATCACTTATAAACGAGAGCTTAATTTTATGTGTTTACATATTTTTAATATATGTATTTAGACGAACAATTCTCCATTATTCAGTTATGAGTTTTTGCGTAAACTTGGGACGATATCAGTAAATAATAATAATAATAATAATAATAATAATAATCGGTATCTGTGTATATTTTTCTATTGTAAATATGAAGTCAATAGCTTCATATATTTTCACCAAGTGGCTCAAAATGGAATTATTACTTAGTAGTTAAAATAACTCAGCTTTCAATTAGTTGGTCATTGATTTTGAATTTCTATTTACCTGCTTCGGAAATTGGAAAATAACACTATTTTTCACAACTAAAGTGTGACTTAAAGATGAATATATAAACCTGTACTTGATAGATTAGTGATGTTGAGAATTCAGATTACTGAAGTTCCAATGCGGATTGGGGATCAATGAAGTCAACTACGCAACACTGGCATCTAACCATTACCGCATAATACCAAAAATGCATTGACGTTAAACAAGTAAACCATTTTACACCGGTTTAGGGGTGTAAGTTGTCACCATCTGCCTTGAGAACCGAAAGTCCTAGTTTCAATCCTGGTCTAGTTGAGGATTTAAAATGCTGAGTCCAGTAATGAAATGAAACAGCTACTCAGTTCTTCATGGTTTCAAATACGTTTATAACCACAACTAGTCCATAAATGAAAGTAGAAAAAAAATAACATACATTCAGATCATTTAAAATCAATATTACCACTGTTCTTATCTCTGAATGTAATGATAGGTAATGCAATATAAAAAAAGCAATTCAGACTTGGAACTTGAGGTTGAACAATTAAAAGCGGAACTTGAAACATCGAATAAAGTGGTGAGCTTGTTTTAGTCATTCGTCAACATTAGTGTATTGTGTGGAAGTAGATGTTGTTCAATGTTGTAAAACTTTGTCTGTTATCAGTGATTATATTGCTGTTTTCTTTAAATGTCGTATCAATATGAAATTGTTTAAAATGTTTGTTCTACTATTTTTCCCACTTTTAATCCATTTAAATGTTGGTGAACGTTTCATCAAGGAAAATTATACACGATCATCACTGCAAACCCATAACTTAAGTCTGGTCTCCTTGATATTGTAGACTAATAACTTGGGTTTCATGGTATTTTTTAAAATATCATCTATTTCTCATCAACACAATAACGAACTGCCATCAGATTTTGCGTAAATTGACCAAACAGATTACGAAAATACAATCTTCACATGTGTATTAGTTTTTGAAAAAAATTTCGACTTTTGATAGGCAGCCATCTATAACCAACTTGTTCATGAAACTCTGCACCTAGCTTTCATGTTATTTGGTTCTTGTCACCTAGTAATAGTACTGAAGGAGCTGATATTCAATATAGGTTTGAAGCATACATCACTCAACTTCAAAGTTCAAAAATTTTCCATTGAGCTGTTTAGAAACGTTCAATTTAATTACAGTATTCAAATTGCAATCATATTTCCTATGTTATGTTACGTTATACGATATATAAAGATCATTTTTTAAAAATAGACAGATTCATACTCTTTTATTTCAGAAAGTCTAATTTACCGTGAGTTTAAAAAGCATTTGAAATATTTTTGTTAATAGTTTCTGTCAGGTGATGTTAACAGTTTTTGAAAATTTAATCTTTGATTATGAAAACGTTTCATGTTATATTTTTTTCTTGATGTGACTTTAACACTGTTTCGTTCATCGCATCAATAAGTTTTGAAAATTCTTTTCATTTGTTTGACCACATTCAGATCATTACAAACGTTTTCATTATTCGTCACTAACCTGTTTATATTATACCTTTTCTACTTTGATATAACTCCACTTTTGTTCATTTTTGGCTAATAGCTTCAAACCACCACAGAAACGTTGAATTCTCGTATTGATGTGGCTGAGACAAGAGCCAGAGCCCTGGAACAAGAACGTTCTTATGATATGGAAAATACTGTAAATAAACTACAAGAAGAACAACAAAGGTAAGAAAAAGAAACAAGTTACTTTTATTTGGTTTTGTTACAGAATTTGAACGATTTTATTCAGACAATTACTTAGTTAAATAAAAAGTTGTTTTCAACAAACTCTGTATTGTCATTTGCATGGATTTATGGTGCAGTAATTTGTCTTCAAACCTAGATTAATGTAGTTTTTGAACTTTTCTCACTATTTTACACCATTTAAATTAAATAATTCTCTTGTCACAAAACATCACTGTCATTTGATTCAAACAAATTTTGAACTATGAAACGTATCATCATTATAAATAAAGTCACTAAGTATGATGACAGTGATCGGGATTTGTAAAGTTTTTCCTCAATTGTTATTAATATTTCAAAGATATATGACAGGTAGGCAGTTTACATTTAAACACTGTGATTACCTCGTCAGTTGACATGCTTGAAACTATTACGAGTTCACCATACTCAGTAAACGAGAGCAAACACAAATGAGGCAGTGACACGATAGGCTATTCTAACCCGTTGTCCCCGGCCCGCCCAACTATATCAAGAAGTCTTGATAAGGCGTAGAAATTGTATTATACAAGTACCCAGAAAATATGAGGTTGACAAGATATAAACGTCCTTGGGAGAACAACAAGAATTGCGTACTAAAATAATACATCAACCAATAACGAACAAGGATATTTCGAGTAAGAAATGTAATCTCAAGGTCAAGTGATCAGCCCATGCGCGAAAACACAAAATCCAAAATCAGAACCGTTTCCAAGTGAGTTCTAGGTATTCAAATAACTGATGGTAACTTGTTCTGAGTTTTTCAATCATAGTGAAGATAAATTAACTGGTTGATTCTGTTGACCTATTACAATGAGTTACTTTTGTTTTCAGTTCTCAGCTTCTTTTGGTCAACTAGGAATTTGTTAAAATGTATAGTGACTAGCTCCGTGAGGAATCTTCTCCGAGTTCTAGTTGGAAGTCGTGACCAGTGAAGTTCAACATGTTCGAGTGTAGACAGTAACTACCGAAGACAGTGTATGAGGTGGCGCAATTCCGTGAATTGTTTGAAGTTAGACATTATCACCGTTAGATGCCGACTCAGTGGTCCAGGGGTTAGGCATTACATTACTGGAGGTCCGGGGTTCGAGTCCTGCGAGGTGCGGCAGTCATGGATGTGCACTGCTGATGAGTCCTTTACCAGGATGAAACAACTGAAAAGTGCTTCCAGGTTTCTAATGGTAGTCTAACACTGATCGATTCATGATTTCAAATGTGTAACTTAACAATCTTCACAACCCCGTAATGTATAATTTATACGACAGGATATCCTCATATTACAATCCGTCAGAACAAATTTTCAGTTTTCTTGCAAGTAGAAGACATTCTATTTGATGATTAACGAATTACATTGGCTCACTAAATAACCTGGTACATTGTTACCTATTTTTAATTGTAATGTACTATTATTACAGTAGAGAAAATAATAACATTAAATTAAAGTAAAAATTATCAGTGAATATTAACTTCAAGATTATGATTAAATTTAAATTCTTTTTTGTTTAAAAAAAAGATCTAGTGAGTTATCAAGAGCCAATGAACTGTTACGTGATCAATTAGAACAAGCAGTACAAGCTAATCAAGGTTTAAGTCAAGATGTTGCACGTTTAACATTAGCTTGGCGACATGCAGCACAACAATTAGATAAACGTGAATCGGAATGGCGTGAAGAAGAAAGTGCATTTAATGATTATTTTGCAGCGGAACATAATCGTTTATTATCTTTATGGAGAGCTGTTGTAGCATTAAGACGTCAATTTGCTGATTTACGACAACAAACTGATAAAGATTTAACTAATGTAAGTCAGAAATCAAGTAAATATAATTTACTATTTTTTTGCTATTGTTAAAATAAGAACCTTCAGATATTGCCAGATCTGAGATTTTTTAAAAAGATGAATATCCAAAGAAACATTTATTAGTATCATTCACTTCGTACAGATAACTGATACATAAGATGATCTTCTAACTGATTAGCTAATCGAAATTTCAAGATATAAATAACTGTTTTGAACCGTGTACATGATTCGATTAGGTATTTGGAAGCTATACCATAAAAATTAATCGATCGAAGTCTTAAAATCTGTTGTATTCAATGTACACCAGTTATAGTTTGGAAACTGAATTAGAAATTGACATGATCAGTTGTTCACAGCTATAAATTAATAAATAGTGACTAGTTGGTCAAATTGTTGCTTAAACAAGTCATTATTACGAACTTCCGGCGGAGTGATTTTGAAAATAATTTCTGTTTCTTGTGAGTCTGAATTGTCTATGCCTTATTTCTGATACATTTTGTCGTGACCAGCGGAGTTCAATCCTGTTCGGGTGTTAGACACTAGCTACCAAAGACAAATGGGCGAGGTCGCGCAAGATCCCTTGATCAATCAGAGTTAGACATTAACACCGTTGGATGCTGACCCAGTGGTCCAGAGAATAGGCGTTCGCGTGCAAGACCGAAGGTCGTGGGTTTGAATCCTACCAAGTGCAAGAGTCGTGGATGTGCACTGCTTATGAGTCCCATACTAGGACGAAACGGCCGTCGTCAAGTGCCTCCATGTTTCTAATGGTGATCTAACAATGATTGATTGATGATTTCAGTGTGCATAAAGCATAAATTTAGACAGCAATAAACTTATTAGGATGCTAAAACTTCATCTTAAACAAAATTCAACATTCAATTTTGTAAGAATTAACACATCATTAAAAAAAGTATTGAAAATATTGTGTATACAATTACCTTTTCTAACTAACTGACTTGGGATAGTGAAGTAAACATCGAAATCATACAACCGTCAAAATAAAAATAATCTTTACAAGACATTGAATGGTTAATAAAATTCTCTTACAAAATAAATGATTGATAGTGTTATTTTTGGATATTATAAATTTTATATAATATTTTTCCGTATCAAAAGAATAATTAAAAAATATTTCAATGATGGATTATGTTACTTTGGAATAGTACTATGTAATTCATGTATTTCAATTATATTTTCTGTGTAATTTTACTCACAATTCGTTTACAGACCCGGTCAGAATTTACTCGATACATAAACAACATTCAATCAGCTTGTACTAATTTGGAAGCAAATCTACGTGCAACGGAAGCACAAAATCAAGCTAGCCAAGTGAAAACAGCTAGTTTCATTGAAGCAGATATGACAAATCGTATACAAGGTTTAACTGAATCTTTAGCACGTAGTCAAGCACGTTTGGCTGAAACAGAAACTAAGCTTACAGAAGTAATGACTGCAAAAGAACGGCTTGCCACACAGGTACGCAGTGAAATTACTATTTACTGAATTCGAATAACAATAATAACAATAAAAATAATAGAATAAATTGAAATATAAATAAAGCATTCAAAATTGAAAAGAAAAAGTTCATATCAGAAAGTATTACAATTTTGTGAAGTTTAGATTCGAAAAATCTTAATTGCAAACTCTCTTATTTAGTGTGCCTAGTTTACAACCATTTTTACTTTAGTTCTGCTCTAGGACTCAATTCTATACCTACACCAGCGAGACCTTGGGAAGCAGCATCAGAGCTTCCGGATACACGAAGAGTAAATCCAGTTGGTTCTTTTTTTAACAAGGTGAAATCAAATTAATGAATTTACTAGGATCCTGTATACGCGTTTCTGAGACGCAGCATACATCTATGTCGTGAGTTTTTACAGTCCTAGCTAAGGAAGCCTGTTTCCCTATTTGACACAATGTTCGGACATTAAGAGCTCCAACATGTAGTCTAGAACGGGGTTTCAGGAGACCAGGAATGACGTTTCATGAACTCGCATTGTTTGCATTAGCGGTGCAGCGTGATAAAGGAATGTAAGAAGAGTTAGTCGTGGAGATAAGAGAAATGTTAGGGGGTGTGAGAAGGATTTGTTTGTGACCGATTCGGTCTCGCGTGCTGTTACGGGTATGAGGGCTGTTGTCACTTCCCGCCCGCCCACATTGTGGAAGTTATGGCAAGCAGGTGTTCAAATGACATTTGATTACAGGTACTATTATATGGCGATCAAAATAACTACACCATAACGAATGAATATCAGCATGAATGGTACATTCTATAAGTCACTGCTGATTCTACAGTTATTGTGAAATTTTGTCATCTTTCATTGTCTATAATTCACAGTACAACTATATATACATCATTAGTTACAGAACACCTATCAGCGGTGTGTTAGGTGCTGGTTTTAAAATGAATCGATGGTTCTAAATTATAATAATAACAACGAGCAAAGTAATTCATACAATGTTTCAACTGTAGCTCACAAACGATTGTTCAAATCAGTGCAGAAAAAGTCACAAAATTGACATTTCATCTCCATCACAGGAAGATAATGTATCTTTGAAATATTCACTTATTTTAACTTCAATAAACAATTACGCTAGTAAACTGCTTTAGCATAATTTAAATCGAGTTGACTGGCGTTTTTAAGTCTACGTAATAATTATCATTTATCATACTTTATCCTAAGATTTTTCAATAGTTTACAACTTCGTAATCGATACAAACTATTTAGAATTAAGCGATAGTAATATTTTGCTATAATATTTAGACTAATAATGAATCCTTTTTTAAATTGTCAACAGAATTTAATCCATTTTCTAATGCTTTATTGTCTCTTTTTTTATTTTATTGAAATATTCCTAATCAAAATAAAAAAAAGCTTGCTGAACGAGATCGAATACTCACTACAATGAAACAATTACATACAAATTTTGATATCGATGTATCATTAATGAAAAATGCAAAATCTTATAAACGTGGTAAACGTCTATTACATGATGTATTAGACAATCATGTCACAACAATGGATATGCATAAACATGATGATTGTTTGTCAGAATTCGAAGATGAAGATGATCATTTGAAAGCGACAAAACGTTTAATTGAACATACACATGTTATGCATCATGCATTGAGTCAAATAGCTCAGGTAATCAGTGAATTTTTTTATGTAAATGTTTGTTTTATTATAAATAACGAAATACATATAGTCTAATTGATCATCCAACCATTTGATTTCGTCGATGAAAATATAGAACCACAACAAACATCCATACATATATTCAAAGTATTGACTTCATTCTACTATTTTTGTTCAATTTCGGACTGAAATTACAAATTGGTTTTTAAACTGTTTGATGTTCACCTTATACTTAAATTAAAACTATTTAAATTAAGACGTTGACTAATAAATTGGACATTTAGAAACTGGTTTTATTTAGTTTCAAGTTCCTATGTTCCTTGTATTCATAAATCTATATAGTTTACTTAATTTGACACCCATGACTGAAAGTATGGGTTCAATAAATACTGCGCAATTTAGCTGGCTAAATGAGTATATTTAATTATCACTATAAAAGAGTGGTGTATATGTTTAAAAGATTCACTAAGCTAACTTCTGAGCTAAATCCAATTCCATTTAGATATATTCTTGAGTACAGTTCCGGTAATATATGTCTACATTTCTTACAAAAATATCACAAAACAACAAGTCAACACTTAGTGTGTCACTCAGAAAACACTCAGCATAATGACTGAGCAGCACTGACTTTCATTATCACATAGAATTTGGAACCTTCTGGTTATTCAGTTCTCTATAGTAAGTAACATGTACTGCCACTGCTTGGCAATATTTTTTAAACTGGTCACCTAAATTAAAAGTCTTACCGCTGTCACCAATATCACTTTAATGCAATAAACTTGATTGTTAATAAAATCCGCCTCGATTACTTCATCAACCGACGTGTACAAGAATTTAAATTTTTTTCAGTCACTGAAGCTCATGTGAAAAATAATTGAAAAAGGTTATTCTACCTAGTTTAACACAAATAATGACATACTTTATGTAAGCTTTCATTCAAGAAAAATCCAAAAAAGAATAATTATCCTTTGATTAATTTACTATTACACTTAAATTATATGTTTATTGGGTTCGTCACTAAGTATGCTTGAAGCTATTACGAGTTTACCTTAGTCGATAAACGCGAACGAGACTTTTACCAGCATCCAGGTAGGCTACCTTGAATCCCCAAAATAGAGTAAGAAGGCTTTGTAAGCGTAGAAAGTATATTCTACAAACACCCAGAAAACACAGTACAATCAAACATACAACTCTCGTTTATTTATACATCATAGAAACGTCCTTGGGACAGTTACGAAAATAGCACACTAAAATACACAGCAGCCAATCACAGCCATGGATTTTCCTGGTGGGAATTGAAATCTCAAGGTCAACTGATCAGCCCATGCTCGCAAACGTGAAATCCAAAATAAGGCATTTATCAAGCGAATTTTGGGGATCTAACATCCCCAACAATATTTGAACTATATTTCATGTGACTCTAACTCTAATTACCTGAAATAGTTACAAAAGATTTCCAGCACAACTTATGCCCGAAATAACAATAATAAGTTTATTGATTTATTAGAAAATATTTTTTAATTCTTTCAGTTAATCATATGGGATGCAACAATTGCTGATACAGATGAAGCACAAGAACCCATTCTCAATTTACAAAATCCTGACTGGTCATCTACACGTATCATACCACCATATTCAACAGAATCAAAACAAACTGCTTCTGATTTATCACCCGACAGTAAAACACGAAATGACACAAATGATGCCAACCAACAAGGAAATAAAATTCATTACACCAAACCAGCAGAGGATATTGCATCATTACGCCGACTGGCACATTCAAAATATCAAGCTGGTACAAGTTTACACTTAGCTGAATCAACTGTCAATGCTGTGCAAAGTGCCTTAAACAGACGTGCTACTCATGTAAGTCAATAATATATAACTGATTTCTTTCTAAATTTATCTAATGGTTGTTAGGTTCATAGAAATTACATTTCCTAGTTGTGCTTGACATAGTCATTTAAAATTAGAATTAACATAAACCGTTATCGATAAACTCTTTCGGTCCAATCTAGAAACAAATCACTGGAACACATTGAGCCCAAAATCTCAAGACTTCATCTTAGATACATCACTCTGTTTTGACCTGATTTAAATAAATAGATTTATTACATTCATGCAATTTACGTTCCTATATTCTTAAGTTGAATTTATTCCCACAACTAGGAAATTACTAGAACAATTGATGTTGAACGAAAATATAAATAAAATTCAGGTGAAATGACTGGTTCTCAGAGCTAATGTTGTATGACTAAATGACATGGTCTTAAAGATTTTCGGAATGAATTTTGGTCAGCTCCAAAGGATGACTAAAAAATTAAACTTTCCAGCAAAATATAATACGTAAAGAAAAATAAAAACAATGACAACATATAAAAAAAACTTGCTCTTGAAATAAACATTTAAGGTTGACAACTCTATTAAGATTAAAACATGATTTTTGAGGAGTGCTTTGAGCTAATCAGTATTATCCTAACGAAACAAAGATGAGCACCTGAGTTAATCCAGCATTAACTGCTCCGGATGAGCTAGTTATGATGGGCATGCGACGAATCAAGTTAGTCATCACACTCTTGGATAAAAGATGAGCAGGAAGAACTACATATAGCTTGGCTTTTCGGTTTCAAGCTACTATCCAGTGCACCTGGGGAGGAAACCATAAACATGAGTGTTTGTCAGATTCTATTCAATTCATTATTATTTGGTTCATTGATATTTATTGTTCTTTTGCTTGCGGATAGCGTATAGATTAATTTTCTGTCTCTATACCCAGTGGGACTAAATTCTTTGAGAGTAGCTATACTGGTTGTGTTTCTGCCTGTCGAACTTTTTAGTGATCCATCTTGTCTTCATTTCAGCAATGCATCAAAAAAACTGAAATGAGTTTACTTCTAAATTCATTGTTAACGTAACACGCCGTTGACAATTACTTAACTCATGCAATCTATGATAAAGATGACCGTTTTTGTCATATCTGGTATACTCACAGTTCACCTCTGCGATAAATAATGAAATCGTGGAATAGAGTTTTCGACGTTGGTTGTACAGCTGAAGTAAATGACATCGTCGAAAAGACAATTTTCTGTGAAAAGAAAATTTCTCTAGTTTATACCATTTTTCAAAATTCTGCAGTTATGCACTTGATAGTGAAACTACTACTACTACTACTACTTTTGCTAGACTACATTGTGTCCTCTAAAAGTCTGCATTAATTACAACTTATCTGCGTACATAACTGATTGGCAGGACATTCCAATTTTACTAAATATTCATTTTCTTTCCTTTATTTTTTTAATTATATTAATGGATTTGTTATTAGCAAAAAAACAGAAACCTTATTTAAGCATATTTTCCTGTCTTATTTCAAAACTCATAAATTTTATTATACACAAATATGATGGAAATAGGCATGTGTGTGTATGATTATTATTATTATCATTATCATCATTAAAAACTAACAAACACTTGTTGAATATTTCAACATTGTATTTATGTTTCACTACATTCCAAAATATAATTTTAATTAATGTATCCGTTAATTGGATCACAAGTTATCGTGTATGAATGAAAGTCAAGTGTTCTATTATTCAACCGTGAATTGTGTGACTGATCAATTGTAAAGATTGTTTCAGTACTACTGCAGCGCGCATAATATTTAGGCATTTTGGTATTGATTAGTTGATTTCGAATGAGGATACGAGTTAAGCTGAATTTACAGTCAATACAAATACACGACAGTTAATAAAATGAAAATAGTGTCACAACTAATGTCTCCTCTAGTTTGCCATTCTTTAAGAACAGATGAGATGAGAAAGTGTTGTTGATCTATTCTTTCTGCAAAAGTATTTTTTTTGAGTGTTGATTAATAACAAAGTATCCATCAAAACTATCCCTTCTGTAGTGCTATTTTTTTCGAAACTAGTTTCAAACTTCAGATTGTGAAAGTATACTTATAAGTGTAGGTGATTCGATGAGAGAAATCATTAAAAATAATAAGTAACAACGATGAACCATGGTATAAATTGATCGAAATCGGAAAGTATTTCCTATGCAATTCTGACTGTATGAATCAGTGATAGTGATCATTCAACTTTCTACTAACTTCATGATTGACCTCTGAAGTATGCGTCACTCAGAAATTTGAAAAATAAACCAAGCACTCATTTAACAGCTCAAGGTGTACAATAAAGCTTTAATCAATATGGATAGTATTTGGTTTCTACAATTATGAACGGGATAGTGGTAGAATGTTATTATTACCGATATCGTTAATATTGTTAAACATTTCCCCAAGTTAGATGAGTTTTTTTTAATAGTGCGAAATAATAAATATAGCTTGAGATATTATGAGTCTATTGCCGTTTTTTGACAAATATCTAACTTAAACAGTTAATGGCGAAGGTATTTTAGTGGAGATACAAATAGAGTGTACACGACAAAGAGATTTGCTTTATAAAGCAATAAATAGGTTGACAGATCTACTATCTAACTAATTTAAACATTTCATAAAAACGGAATAATTCAAATTTTGATAACAGAGTAACAACATTAGGAATTAGGTTGGATTGAATTTAATAAAGTTGATTATTTGATTCTAGTTATGCAAGAGTATAAGAAAGTTTGTTCTATAATCTCATAATTTCAATTAAATTATACACTGTAATAAGTGAATAAAAGTTTCGAGCCAAAAACCATTTGATCTACTCGATACGCTGAAAAACCAACGACATTTTATGTCCACAGATTGAAAACTTTTTTTAATCTGTGATGATAATAGGCTTTCTAAGTAATTTCATTTTTCTAATGCATAATTTCTTGAAAATATTTTCAAGAAATTAATTCTTAATCTATCTCTGTCGTTTTTCCATAAAGTCAAGTATAAGAAATAATAATAGTAATCAAAAGGTGACTGAAGCAGAATTCTGTCTACATATAGTTGTATTTAACTTGGTGTAATACTCAGTTATCTCTCAAATTGTTTAAAAGGCGGAAAAGCAAAAATTGATTGTCATCGTGTGTTTATTACCTTAAAAGAGATCATTTGTGACTCGATGATAACTTCTCTGATTGTTACATAGATGTCTAGGATTCAAAACTTATGTAAATCTTTGACCATCTAAAAACTACAGACAAATGTTATTGATAACTAACACAAAACTAAGGTCCACAGTTTCTTGCTAATTATTTCAATCACTCAATATTTGATTTAGGTGATGACATAAGACTTAAAGTTTAAAATAAAACTTTTTTAATTTGTGTTCAAATAAATATAATAAACTGTTGACGACAGTCACCAGCAAAATCAGAAAATATAATTTTCAACCGACTAAGCGATAACAAACTGAACTTCAACGAATTCAGAGTATATATGAATGAATTTTAAAAACACAGAAATCATCCAACAAACTAAAAGTCGTTGAATAGATATATTCTCATCCAAGTAAATGTTGATAATGTGTCTTTTCTGACTGACCATTTACAAATAATCGTACATTCATCCTCCAAATTTTGAGATTTGCCATTATCTAGTAACATCAAGATTTTTCAAAGACATTTTGAACAAAGAGCCGATATATTTAGAAAATTTTGCCAATATCGGGCAAAATTTTAGCAATAAAAACAATTAAAAATTATACAGCATTCAGCTTAATCTTCTAGCATAGCTTTACATATTCTGTGACTGAAAGCTTGTCAAGTTTAACTCACTTCATTGATTTAAACATGATAGCGATTTGACTGAAAGCAATGGATGCTATAAAAGTAACACAGTAATGCGAAATTCTTTATTTAAGGTAACCAACCGACGGTTGTCCATAAAGTTAGACACCTCAGCGAAACCAGTCATCTATGATAGTGAAATTGCTTCACCTGTCAACAACTTGGCCCATTTGTCAACACTAAAAAGTGATGCTTAGATTTACCAACTTTGCATCCTAATAGAACTATCTGTATATGTAAAAACGCCTGTCAATTATAGTCATTAAAATCAACATTTTACAAAATAATGCAAACTATACATTGATCGACATGAGTTTCCTAAAAAAAACTTTCCTATTTTTGGCCCCATTTTTCATGCTTAACTCATTAATAATTTAGTTATTTTTATTTAACGAATTAAGAATTCAATGGTGAACTCCAGTTAATTATGAGTCACTTTACAAAGTTACTATGGTTATATTCTGAAAAATTTATATTTCAAATGATATTTCTTAATTTATAAGACGACCAAATGAAATTAAGGAATTTCGAATGTAAATTTAATGATATGTTCCATTCAAGTATTCAATGTTATTTTATATTGACACTTATTTTTACCGCTAAATTTAAATCTGATAATATTTTGTTTGTTTGCTTGCTTTTTGTTTTGTTTTGTACACAAAACTTACTTTTAAAAAAAATTCAACAATATGATAAACAACACAATATTTTCTAAAACTTAAAATATATATCCAATTTTTTTCTGAAAAAAATGAACATTCTAGAATGAGTAAATGCAAAATAAATACTGTAAAAAAGAGAAAGTCTTTTTTACATAAATGAATAAATTTTAGTGTTTAAATTAATGACTGATTATTAAAAAAAAAGTGATCCGAGTTATCTATGTGTTCATTTGACTGATTGAAAATAGTTATGCTGCTTTATTAAATAAAAAATGACTTACTTTAATGTTTGTTTGTTTATTTAGACTGAAGTTCAGCGGATAAAGTTCACACGTAAATATCATCATATAGAAAAAAATTAACATAATTCATATTCTAATTAATGGAATTCACTATGTTTTCGTTTTTTTAACAGAAATATTTCATTTTGCATTTTCAATGATCAAAGTTTCTTATTTTGATGTTTCAAATCATGAACTAACTTGCATTGAATAACCATTGAAAATCAGTAAACAGTGGACAGGTGTTTTTTTTCTATTATGAGATTTTTAAGTATTACTTATCAATGACCATATTTGGAATTGAACTTAAGTCTTGCAATAAGTCTTCAACACTTTGCTGACTAAGTTGGTTATCACTAGTAGACTGTTCTAGCTTTAGTCAACTTCTAACATGAAACAACCACTATTTACTGCTGATGGAGAAATTTTCTTACATAGAACATAAATGAACAACACTGCTCACAGCTTCTCACGAAGACTCCATATGAATTACATTTCAAAATAATTCATTTAAACCTAAAAAACTACTTAAAATCCTTGCAAGAATAATGATTTTTTTGTAACGAAGTGTAGTGCTTGGAGACTAAAATAGCCTCCAATATCACTAAACCTAGTGTTAAAACCTGGAGGGATAGTGTTTAGTATCAATAATGCAAACCTTCAACTAATTAATGCTACACAGTATGTTCGACTTTTATAGTTCGGATCAGATACATCGCTATTCATGCAAAAGCTAAGCATACATCAATTTATCTAACTAAATTAAATGAATTTGCAATATAGGCTCTAGTATCGTTTGTGGTCATTTATCAGTAAACTGTTTCTGATTAAAATTTCTTAGCTTTTCATTAGTTATTCTACTGAATAAGACTGAAAAATTGATTCAGTATATCTTAAAGATTAATACTCTGTTTATATTTGAAGATATTTACAAATAAGAGAATAATGCGATTTTGATGATTGAGTTAGTGAATTGTGAATTATCATCATTATTATTATTATTATACTGAAATTCTACGAATATTACCTTTATCCGCAATTCGTATAATGAATGCTTTAGTTAAGTAGATTGATTGAAATATGCTAAATAAAGTAATCTACATATCATTGATATTGTACACTAAGATCTGAATTAGCTAAATAGTTGTCACAATTTAAAAGTTTATATATTTTCAATTCAGTAGTACTTTTAAGTAAACCTGAAGTTTTAAAATAGAGTAGCCAATCAATTTTATGCATCTTAATCCTACAGTTAGCTAGTTACTAGCTGGCTAGTTTAATGGCAACGTCTCAGGTTATGAAGCTAGTTGACAAGGATTTTTAAAACTCGCAGGAAATATCAGTTCCTTCACGATCGCAGATAGTCCATACTGATGAATAGCTATTGAGTGTAGGGGGTTTAAAACTAGCTGCCTCTAACCACCTAAAAATCGAGATCTTAGGAAAACTTTATAGTTTTAGTTTTCTAAAAAATCCACATGCAAAGATTAAATTGTTACATTAAAGAAACATCAACCGTAAAAATGGCACTTGATAATTTAATTTAAGTGATTTTTTTAAAAGTAAAAGTTACTTTATTTGTACTGATCACGAATTTACTAACACTATAATCTTTATTCATCAAACTTTATTTTGAATAAGTTACAAAAAACTATTTTGTTCGACAATGAATATCACAAACAATATTGTTCATGTTTAATAGAAATACTAAATGCAGTATAAATAGATACAATGAAAATCTGATCTGCCTTATTATCTCGAAGTAGCCTATTTTCTATTCTCCCAGCTTGACCATCTCTTAATCTAATGTTTATTATACGATTGGTAATTTCTTTTCCAATCAGAGGCAGTTGGAATGAACCGCTTTTTCAGGAACTTAGTCACATTGTGATAGTTTGAGTTTGTCTCCTCAGTTTTCGATTCTATTTATTTCATAAATCATAGTTTAAGACATAAGGTAAATCTACACTGGGCTAAATATAAGCCACTGAACAGATGCATTACATGCAATCGTTACCCAATAAATCTTAACTTTTACTTCATACGCTATGTGCCTGTTCAATAATCTGAGAGTTTACACTTCAACATTTATCTCAAGTTCTCAAACCGAATTTCCAGGCAATGTCAAAACTTTCTATGATATGCTCCTACTACTTTACTTAATATAAGTAAGTGAAGACGTTTATGTAATATTCCAAAACAAAAGTTCGGTTGCTGCATCCATCTGTGTCACATAGATTAATAACAACCAATAAATGGCTATTCAGGGTATGCAAAACGTTCTTTAATCATGAAATCTGCATGACAGAGGTTCTAAAATTTACTCACATCAACAATGATTTCAAACATGATTATCATTAGGATGACTGCAATTACTTTGAAAACACTAACTAAAGCCAATGCTTTTGTTAATCTGGTTTCTTAAATTAACCATTAAACATTTTGATAGCTTCTAGTATTCAGTGATGTGGAAAATCTGGAACTAATAGTCCAAGCAGTTGTTGAAATTTGGTGTGAACAAGACTTGAAACACCATGAAAGTTAGGGCCATATTCTTTGACAAATCAAATAAAACTATCAGGGGATTTAAAGACACGTTCGTGAGTTTAAAAAAAGCCGATATTTTCTTCAACGAATTTGTTGAAAAAGTATACATATCGTTTACTTCAGGCGTAAGTTCAGACAGATCTTCTGATTGTCATCTTTCAATTCTGCTACATTTCTTTCATCCGATCTTGTTTATGATTAAACTAGCTATACATTTTCGAAACCAATACAATGTGAAAAATCATTAACAAGAGAGTAACAAAGGCTACTAGAAATAGAATCACAGTTGAAATGGTCATTTAACCTAATAAAACTGTAAAGTTTGACATCCATAAAAATAATGTGGTGGGTAAGACTTGCCTACAATCTCAAAGTGAAAATATTTTGTAAAAGGTTTATTAATAAAATTGTCTTGGGATCATGGACCTACTCACATAATTAACCATCACTGTTAACCTAACAATGATGATAACAGTAAACAGTACTGTGTGGATGACTCGTAAACTTTTGATTCGTTGGTCAACACATGAAGATGGAAACGTTTTTGAAAATTCTGTACCTAAACTTTAATTATTAAGTGCACTAACCACTCCTCTTGTACAACTGAAACAAAGAGTTTGCACATTGTAATCGCTGAAAATCTCCGTAAAGCACATCTTTGTATGTTACATTTCATCACAAGTAAGTGGCAATTAAATAGATAATTGATTTAGATATTATGAGACATTCATTTCAACTTTTATAGGTTCATCGCCTTAGACTTCGTAGTTCTGGATTGAAAGAACAGTTAAATAACCTTACACGTCGCGGAGAAGAGTCAGATATGGAAAAGAAACGTCTCTCTGAACAGTTGGCGCGATTAAGAGAAGAATTAGAAGTACAAAATTTAGAAATGGATAAATTATCTAGAGAAAGGGATAGAATTAAACAAACTCTAAGGTAACATGATAATAATTAACTATTCATTCATTATTTATTTCACAAATACTCGTAATGATTAATTCTTTAGAAAAAAAACTCGTAATACATTTCCAAAGTAATTTTTATCATGAAATGTTGTCATCTCTAGAGGTCATGAAAACTAAGGTCAGACGATCATCAACGTATATACACATGACCACATGTGAAATTTAACTCAGAACGTTCTAACATTATATTGAGCATGGTATCGTTGCGCTTCTGAGCTATTCCTTTGGTCATCAATGCTTTCGATTCTACTCGATTTCCTATATAGCATGCTGATCACTTAGGACCATCAGTGAACTACTGCCCCAACATTAATACGAATAACTTTACAACTAACAGATTTAAATAAAAAATTCGATGAATTCCTTTTATAATCTGGTCACCGGTGAAGATCTATATATTTTCTTCGGCTCTAGTAAATTCTTAGCCACAGACATACTCGTCAAATAGATATTTGAAGACTCAATATGCTGGGGAATTTAGATCTCCAGAACTCGCTTGATAAATGTTTTGATTTAGGATTTTATTCATGTGCTTATCAGTTGACCTTGAGATCACATTTCCCACCAGGAAAATCTTTGGCTGTGATTGGTTGCTGTGTATTTTAGTGTGGTATTTTTGTGAATCTCCCAAGGACGTGTCTATGATGTATAAATAAACGCGATTTGTGTGCTTGAATTCATTGTATTTGCTGGGTTTTTGTAGAATATATTTTCTACTATTTATCAAGTCTTTTTCGTCAGTCCATTTGGGGAAACCGACCAGAGTAGACTACCGTGCAACTGGTTCATTGTCTCGTTCTCGTTTATCGACTAAGATGAACCCGTAATAGTTTCAAGCATATCCAGTGACGAGCATAAACAATGGTAATTTGAATCATATAAAATATTATCTTCTTTTTTACATTGTGAGAAAAGCTATACTAGCTCGATATAAAAATTTATATGAATCCATTTCGCACTTAACATCCTAAATGAGTGTTTTTATTCATACTAATAAACGATTCACTAATTACTTAGTTGAGAAAAAACAACTCCGATATATGGATTCAGTAAAGAATTAGACAAACACCGACATAAGTATCGATATAAGAATGAGTTGTTGCTTATCTTAATGTCTGTCGTCGACGAGTTGCTTCTACAAAATACTCATCTTCCATGGATTTGATTCCGAATGAAATCATTTATGTACTACTGTTGTTTACTTAGTTTCAAAATAACCGCAATCATCGTTATTCGATGTTTTTTTCTAGAGAATTTTATATAATTCATATAAGATTAATAAATTTCTATGGATGTACAGTCGTCAAATTCAAATAGGATTCTGTTACTGTTTGTATTGTAATGTATCTAGAAAACTTGTTCTTTAATATAGGAAAAAGTCATTGTATATTTATTAATATCATGAACTAATTGAACTCTCATAACATTGTTTAAAATCAGTTCAATTTTCAATGTTTATTTGCAAAAAGTTAAGTTTTCACTAAAACACGCTGAAATTATTTTGATTTTAGTTTAACAAAAGAAGAACATGAAATGAGTGAATCAGCAAGACAAAATTTAAATGAACATGTACATGAAATTGAAAGTGAACTAGATCGTCTTAGAACATCTTTACATGATATGCGAAAACAACGCGATGAAACGATCACAGAACGAGATAATTTACAAACTGAATTAGATCGTACAGTGAGTTTGTTAATTGTTTAACCTCTTTCATTGGGTAAATTATTATTTTTAACGTATAGAAATTTAGAAACTATGAAAAATGAAAGGATCCACAGAGAGAAAGTATATGAATAGTAGGTTGGTTTATTGTCAAAGTCATACATACACTTTTCAGTTTACAAATAAACTTGTAGAATATTAGAAAATTGTACTGACAGGGCAAGTGAAATAAGTTATATTGTATTCGAGTTCATTATTGACAATCAGAATTACAATTACTTTTCTATCAAGTATACCTTTTCTTTCCTCAAGCGAAAATATAGTTTTGGAAAAGAAATTAACCAATCATTACAGATATTTTTATCAAGTGTAGTGTAGTATTCGTTTGACAACACTAGTACAAGACGATGTTCATATGTTTTTCAGCCAAATAAACGAGAACTAATCGGTGAACGGAACCGATATATAAATTTTATCAAGCTAAACATTTTCTGTAATGGTTTTCAATAAGTTCTAAAAACTTTCTTTTCTTAAGTGAAGAAACATGAATAAAATTTATCTGAATTGTCATATTATTATTATCATAATCATTAGGAAGGGTTTAAGTTGTTCAGTTTCGGATATAAGGAAACATCATCATTCAGATCATAGCGTTCATGAGTGAGACTTACTTGCTGTGTCAAAGGTTGTGGAAAATGTAATATTTGTAATGTAAAGGAGCAGAGTTTGAAGTATTTGTATACTTTTTGGTGATTTAAGATGTGAACAGAATTAAATGTGTGGAAGTTTCAACAAATAGTTAGGTAATCTTTTCTGTTCAGCGTGTACCCGAGTTTGTAGCGCATCTGTCTTCCAATACTCAATATGTGCGAGATATCAAGCATGTTTGTGTATATTTCCGGTTATTTGATGAATTTATGCCGCATATGAAAGCATTATTCTCACTACCTATTCCATTTCAAGCTTTAACTCTCACCATGTTTGCCGAATTTGTCCAACAAGTTGTCATACGATAGAGAGACGTGTTCAAAGAAATATTCAAATACCTTTGGTACTTCAAATGAAACTGTCAGTGGAATGTATGTAGCAGTATGCAGCACCCGCCTTTAAATAAACGGAAAAATGATCGAAAAAGATAGATTAAATTACTAAGCATTGATAGATTACCTCACACTTGAACACAATACAGTTTAATCATATATGATAAGCTTCAGTTACTCACCTTACTTTGTAACGGGAAAAACATTTTCAAATTATTCTAATATTTTTCATATCGATTTCATAGTTTTAATGCTTGAGTTTATGTTTATCTACCCTAGCACCATAGTATCATGATTAGTTTAGTTAATATTTTTCATAATCATCATACTGTTTTCCTCCGCCTTCACGCTTAATTTTTATAATCGTCATCAAGCTTCGTGAATTAGATGCAATACAAAAAACATTAAGTAGTACAGAACAACGTGCTGTCAACTTTCGTGAAGAATTAGCCACAATTCGTGAACAATTAAGACGTGTTGAGCTGGAAAAAGAAATATTAGATCAAGAGAAAAATGATGCAATTACAGGGGCTGGTAAAATTCAAGCTAAAATTGATGAATTAAACGAAGAGCTCAATCAAGTAATCACAAAAAATTTGTTTGTTGCTTTTTTTTCTATTAAAAGTTATTTAATTTGATTATGCATGCAGTTAAGATTTGTGTTGATTGAATTATTGAACTTGCCGTTACGTTATAACATCAATAAAAAGTATTCAAACATAGGTATATTGTTGGAAATTTTTATAACTCAGTCAGATGCAACGTAGAACTTCGTACGTAAGTACATCAGTTCATGTTGCCATACCACATCAGCACAAAGATATAATTGTCATTTCAAATCCAATAGTAGAAGAGGTAGTAAAGGTATTAGAAGTAATCGAAGAGGTTAGGATGAGAAGATATTCAAGAAATATGATTCAGTGAGAAAAGTTTAGAGAGTCAAAACTAGAGGTGTTGAAGAATGCAGAAGATTAGGATTTGAGAGAACACAAAGAATAAATGCACCGGCGCCATTGCAAACGGTTTTGAGCCATGTCATCCAGCGTATCTAACCATCGATCTCGCGGACCCCAACCAGGTAGTCGAGCACTACCGACATGGCTAAGTCCACTCGTCAATGACTTCATGGATTTCTGCCATGTCTTGGTTTGGCCGCCCCTAGCTTTCTTCCAACCATTCCTACACTACGAAACAAAGCTCGACTATTTGTTTTTTTATAAAGTTCGCACGTAACCAAACTATTTGAATGTTAACTCATTTATAAAAGGCAAACTTTTAAACCAACCTTTGATTCATACAATTCTATCTCAAATTGTTTAGATATAACTTTACAGTGTTGCGAGAGATAAAATAGTGATGCGTGTTAGAACGCTTATCTCATAGAAAAGTGTTATACCGTAGGCAGTAATTTCTATCATGTGGCTGAGAGTAATCAAAAGAAAAAATCTTATGTGTTAATGTCTGCCATCAAAATTAGAAAGAACCAGGACGATATTGTGTAACATTTCTAAGCGTAGATTTTTTTGACTCATCAAATTAATAACAGTCACTAAGTAATACTCATCTGAAGAGAGATTTCAGTCAGAACTGAGATTAGATATATGAAGCAGTATGTAGAAATGGCATGATAGTAAATCATCCCGATAATCATATTAACTTGTTAGTCTTATAATATTTAAGTCGAACACAAAGGATGATGATGGTGTTATTATATGTGTTTCACTGTTACTTTACTGTTATCTATCATATAATTGTTTGCAATCAGCAACACTACCGTTAAATAACATGCAGAATTCCTTACGGTAGTTAATGTCCATAAATCTACTGAAACTCAACCAATGAATCAATTTTATACATTCGTATTCACTGTAAGAGTCTTTATTAATGGGGATGATATAATCAAGCGGATATTTTAACTCGATAACGCACTAACGGTAATAGTCATATCTCATTATCAAAAAAATATAACACACTAGATAAGTAGGATGACTGGTAATACGTTACACTCATATAAACCTCAGTTTCTGTCTGATCAAAGTTATCATTAGCAAATAATCTGCATACATATCATTAAAATGTCAAGTAATGAAAATGATTGACATAAACCAGCTCTAGATGAATGTCTTTTCTTTACTTAACTACTTATTAATTATAAATATTGAAATTATTTATCTGTTATACTATTCTGCCTTTTAACAACCGGTCTTTTCATCAACTCTACTAACAGAATAACTGCTTTTGCTGACTTAGAATATGCCGATTACATAGTTCTATTTGGTGAAGACGCTGACAAAATACAGTCTTCTGGCCACCCTAAGCAACAATGCAAGCATGTTCGGGATGCGGTTCTCACTCTCGAAATGCAAAATGTTGCTTCAGGATTGGGTTACATCGGTACCTGCACTGGTGATAGGGAGTAAAGTAGTTGAGCATGTTGACCGCTTCACTTATCTGGGGAGTCTCATCAGTGCTGATGGCCTGGTGACTGACGAAATCTGAGCACATATACAGCTCGGATACAGAAGGCTCGATCGTCTCTTGCCAACCTGTGTCATTGATGGCGCAGGCGAGATATCCGCTTGCTGACTAAAGGACGAGTGTGCTGTGCAGCAGTTCGCTCAGCCCAACTACATGGATGCGAAACATGACCGTTAAGAGTAGAGGACATTCGTAAGTTACTAGTCTTCGGTCATAGGTGTATCCGAAGCATTGCTCGTGTATACAGGGACGACCGAGTAAGCAATGCTATTGTTAGGAAACGAGTTCTAGGTAAGGATGGCAAATCAATAGAGGAAGCATTGAAACTTCATCAGTTGAGGTGGTTGGGACATGTGTTACGTATGCCTAACCACCGACTGCCGCGAAGATCTATGTTTTGTGGTGTAGGAGTAGGTTGGAAGAAAGCTAGGGGCAGCCAAACCAAAACATGGTAGAAATCCATGGAGTCACTGGCAAGTGGACTGAGTCATGTTAGTAGATGTAGACTACCTGGTTGGGGTCCGCGAGACGAAAGTCATTAATAGTTAGAGACCTTGAATGACATGTCTCATAATCGTTTGCAACGGCGCAGGTGCATCCAATCTTTGTGTTCTCTGTAATTCTAACTTTCTGGATTCCTCATAATCTCTATCTTACTCCTTCTAAATTTAACTCACTGAATTATACTTCTTCTTCTCCATTACTACTAGTACTTCTACTACCGCTATCACTCTTGGATTTGAACTGACAGTTGCGTCTCTGTGCTAATGTGGTATGGCAACCTGAACTGATGTACTTACGTACGCAGTTCTGCGTTGTATCTGTCTTCCGCTTTTATAATTAGACATTATCTTCATAATTTACAGAATGCTTTAACTGTTATAGTTCCTAATAGGAGAATATTCTACATTAAGATATCTAGTCGTCAGTGTTTTGATTGAAGTATGTAGAATCTCACAGCTAAGGAATAATTAATTAGTAAAGCAATCTTTCAATTAGCACATTTTTAATCTGATTACTGTGAATGAGCTGAGATCAGTTAAAGGAAATCCCTATAAATGAAAACAAATAATGATCAACGCCTTTCCTAATCGTTTAAAAAACCTCCAGTATTCTACCGACTTATTAATATATGTTAGAAAGTCATTAATATTCAGTTTTTCTACCGAACAGTCAACAATTAAACTACTGTATCATTATAACTGATTACAATTTAAAATAGTAGTTTTTATCAGCCAACGATGTATCACAACATCATTCATCATAGTCATTTAAGTGAAATTCTTATTGAGTAAAATAAATAATAAATTATTAGCTGTCATTATTATTATTGGTGAAAAACGATTGCTTAATTTTGTTAAAGAAAGGGTGACTTTTAGTGGTGAATAATTTTGGAGTCAGAAAAAACCCTGATAATATTATCAAATTAGTCTAACATCTGATTAATTAGATTTTGATATTGTTTATTATTGAATTGTCCCAACAATATATATCGACTGACTGAACATTTTCATTTCAAATAGGTGTGATTAGAAACCTCACATAAGTATCTTACTTATATTTGTTATGTTGATTTCCTCTCACTAAATATATCTCAGGTAGTGAGCTAGATTTTCCTTCAAAAAGAATACTCGACTGATCAATCTCTAATTAAGATGGGGCTATATTTCATAGATATTCAAATTACCAATGTTTGTTTGAGTAATATTTGATTTCAAATCATCAATCAATCATTATTAGACCACCATTAGAAACTTGGAAGCACTGGACTGCCGTCAAGTCCTGGTATGGGACTTGTCAGAAGTGCGCATCCACGACTCCTGCACCTCGTAGGATTCGAACCCGGGACCTTCGGTATTGTGCGCGAACGCCTAACCACCGGACCACTGGGCTGGCATCCATTTGTGTTAATGTCTAACTCTGATTGATCTACGGATTTTGCGCGACCTCACCCATTTGTCTTTGGTAGTTACTGCTGATGAGTCCCATACCAAGACGAAACGGCCGCCCAGTGCATCCAGGTTCCTAATGGTGGTCTGACAATGATTGGATGATGATTTCAAATGTGTAAAAACACATAGTTCCAACGTTCTGCCTGATAATACTTGATTATTATTAAGATATTACTTTCAAGCTAATATTATATATAATTTGACTTTACATACCTCATTCCTAACGATATATATACATATGTTATTAAGGCACATAATCGGGAAATTCAATACAAATCAAGAATAGCTAGGCTTGAAACAGTTCTTGAGTCACAAGAGCATGATGCTGAACAGTTAACTCATCAAATTTCATTGACACATGCTAAAGAAACTCGTTTAGCAGAAGAAAGAGCTAATCTTCGAGTGGAATTACAAGAACAAAGAGATGAATTAGAAAAATTATATTCTGAAAAATCCCTAACACAATCCGAATTAGAACAAGCACGAGAATCTACAATGCGCGCTGAGACAGCTAAATCACGCCTAGAAGCTGAATTGGGTGATCTGGCTCGAGAACGAATGACACTTACAGAATCACTGTCTGAAGCTCAAAGACAAAAAGCATCTTTAATGGAAGATATATCAACGTTCCGAAGAGATTCTGAACGTCAAGAATCCTTAATCATGCGATTAACTAACGAAAAAGAAGCTATATCAAGACATAAAGCTGAATTACTTCTCCAGGTAAGATAAGTGGTTCTTAAACGTTATACACGTTTATTAGCAATATAATATTTCTATTTAAGATCTTAAATTTAACATACATGTGAACATAGTTCTTTCTAATCACTAATCGAATAAGTGTAACGTAGCGTAGTTGATTGTTTTGTTTCGTTTTATGAAAGAATTGTTTATTGAAGTCCCTTAAAATGTGTGTTGTTGTTTTCACAATGAAAAAACTGTGTCGATTATCGGACATTAAGCGTTTTACCCTGATTGTCATCAAATGTTGCTTTCCAGTTGATTTAAACTAAATACTATGAAGATTAACGGCCCAAGGTGATGAAAACAATCTAGGGAGTTTCGCTATAATTGCATGATCGCAGACAGCAATATCAAGAATGATGATAAAATTAGCAGTTGAGAAATATATCTACTTCAGTCATCAGTATTAGTCTATTCAACCGAAGGAATTTAATCACTATACGACCTCTACCACTTTTGCTCCGTCTTATTAGTATAGTATTTTGGTCAAATTATTTTAAACAATCGAATTGTTTTAAACCATGAATCATAAACTGCGAAACGCAAGTTTCAAATATAATATGGAACATTACAAAAATAAAATAGTGAAAGAAACTATATCGAAAAAAAAAAAATAATAAACCGTTCAAACACCAGTGACACAAGTTCCAAACAATTATGCATTTTAGTAACGAATAATTTTGCTCTAAAGCTGTTAAAATTAATCGGGACGTTAGATCACCGGAACTCACTCGATAAATGCCTTATTTTGGATTTCACGTTTGCGAGCATGGACTGATCAGTTGACCTTGAAATTTCATTTCCTACCAGGAGAATCCTAGGTCGTGATTGGCTGCTGTATATTTTAGTGTGCTATTTTTGTAACTGTCCCAAGGACGTTTCTATGATGTATAAATAAACGCAATTTGTGTGCTTGATTGTATTGTGCTTGCTGGGTGTTTGTAGAATATGCTTTCTACGCTATATCAAGACTTCTCTTTTGCAGTTTTGGGATCAAGGTAGCCTACCTGGACGCTGGTTCATTGTCTCGTTCGCGTTCATCGATTAAGGTGAAGCCGTAATAGATTCAAGCGTACCTAGTCACGAACCTAACAAAAATAATAATCAGTAAATGAATAATTCTGACCTAGTTATAATTAACGTTAAATTTTTTAATTAATAACAGTGTAAGATGAAAGGTATATTTTTTTAATCACCTATTTTTAAATAATTATTCACTATTGATACCAGTGTAATTGATGAAAAATTCACAAATGAAAACCGATCAAGATTTACTGTAACTGAACTCATGCTAACCATAAAAAAATTATAACAGTCAGTTAAATGACACGACGCTAAAAACCTATGCTTACTTACTTACGCCTGTTACCCCCAATCGAGCATAGGCCGCACACCAGTGTTCTTCAACCAACTCTGTCCTGGGCCTCCCTTTCCAGTTCTGTCCAATTTTTGTTCATTCTTCTCATATTTTCTCTATTTCTCGGCGCAATGTGTTCCTTGGCCTTCCTCTTTTCCTTTTGCCCTGAGGGTTCCAAGTGAAGGCTTGTCTTGTGACGCAGTTAGGTGCTTTTCGTAGTGTGTGTCCTATCCACTTCCACCACTTCTTCCTGATTTCCTCCTCCACATCAGTCTGATTTGTTCTCTCCCACAGTACGTTGTTGCTGATGGCGTCTGGCCAACGGATCCGAATCTCTCACCGTTTTCGTTCCTTTTACCAGTCCATGTTGTCCCATGATGTCTTCATATCCAGTGTTATCCATCCCAACCTTGGCATTTAGGTCTCCCATCTGAGTCGTCAAATCCTCGAAATTCCCATCCTATCAGTGCCTTTTGTGCATGTTCGGACAGCATCAGTGCATTCCCTGTGTATGTGAAGCATTTTCCTCTTCATGACCAGAGTATAACAGCAGTTCCTCTGAAGCTAGTCTCAGTTGCCCTACCTGTGTCCAGTGTGTTTCACTGATGCCGAGCACCTCGAGGTCTTATCTTTTCGTTTCTGCCGCAACTTGAAATAGTCTTCCAGTCTCCCACAATGTACGAACGTTCCATGTACCTAAAAGAATGGTTGTTCTGGTTGTCAGAAGAGGCATCGGCCTCGTAACTTTCGAGGGAACTCGACTTTCATCATGCGACGTCATAATTCTCCTTCCAACTGCCAGGGCAGAGTGAAAATGATTTGAATTATTTCTTCTGGTTACCTTGGTTTCTAGTTGGGATGGGATCGCCAACTCCATGCCCAAACCTTCTCCTTTATCCGGGCTTGGGACCGACAGTAGCCCCGAAGGGTCTACAGGCGGAGTTGAAAACGTATGCACCCAATGAAGTAAACAAAGTTTCCCACCGCTTTTGTTAATGTTGAAATGATTTGAATTAGTCGCTTCCATTTTTTTAATCATTTCATACATCGATTTAAACATTTTATTACAGTTCTGTACTATTGTTTTTTTTCAATTTTCAAGTTATCCATTGTTGAACGAGATAATCGACATCTTACAGAAATAATTAATACATTGAAATCAGAGAAAGAGAATTTAGAAGCTAGTTTATTTGATATGCAACAAACAATTGAACAGTTGTATCATAAACAATCTCAACTAGAAAGAGATGTAACAGATTTAAGAAGTCGTCGAGATGAATTACAAGGTAAAGATGTTTATATCTTTGAAGAACTATATGTACATTTGATCTACCTCATAATTGTGAATAGTAAATTTGTCAAAATAATTAGATACTGCTAGTAGGAATACTTCTTCTGACTGATGAATGTTTACTTTCAAGAGACCCCCTGTCACATTGAATAAATAAATTGTATGATACATTACATCACTGTTGGTGACGTGAGATCCCCAGAACTCACTTGAAAAAGGTTCTTATTTAGGGTTTTTTGTGTTTTCGCGCATGAGCTGCCGAGTTGATCATGAGATTACATTTCCTACTTGGAAGATCCTTGACTGTCATTGGTTGATGTATTATTTTATCACGCTATTTTTGTTGCTCTCCCAAGGGCGTTTCTATCATGTATCAATTAGCTCGAATTATGTGTTTGTGAGCCTCCTATTTCCTGGTTGCTTGTAGAACACACTTTCTCCGCCATATCAAGACACCTTGACATAGTTAGGCGGGCCGGGGACAACGGATTAGAATAGCCTATCGTATCACTGGATCATTTGCCTTCTCTCTCGTTTACCGATTAAGGTGAACTCGTAATAGTTTCAAGCATATCCATTACTCATACCAACAACTACAGTTTTTTTAGATCAGTACTGAACTATGTGTGAATTATTAACTTTCACTTCTGAAATAAATATATCCTCATTAAAAACTTAAATTATTGTCAAATCCTACTATACTGAAAATCACAAACTTCACAAAAAATGAAACTGTTTATCGAATATGAAGGTTAACTAAAGGTATATTATGACCTCAGATTGTTAGTACCGTATCTTTCAATGGTAAAGTAGTTATCACTGATATGACGATTTCAAAAGTAATAAGGATAGTAAAATTTCTACAAGCGTATGTTTAACACAATTCAACATGGTTTAAATTTGAATAGATGAACCTTGTGTGCTTGGTATTCACTTATTAAGAAGCCTTATCTTGATAGACTTCTTTTATTTATTTGGGTGCATAATACTATTCCATTCATCATTCACCACTTATCTGAATCTCATCAGATTTAATGCGCTTTCTTTTCTCTGCATGCCATAAATAATTACCAAAATATATTGTATTTTTTGTTTTAAATTCTAGCTGAACTATGTCGTGCTCATAGTAATTTCCAAATTGAATTAGAAAAATCCGAACGTAATAGTAAAAAAGTAGGTGATCAATTGACCAATGAATTAGAAGATCTACGCATAGCATTAATTAATGCTGAGAAACGTGCTGAAGAAGCAGAGAATGCATGTTTACAAGCTGTAGCAAGAGCCGATCAAGCTGTCAGCTTAATTGATAAACAGCAACAACAACAAAAACATCTGGATGTAGAACAATTAGTTGATCGAGAATATGAATTGCGTAATTCAGCTGAAGAAATGAATAGACTTACTAAAGAATTATTAGCTGCTCAAAGGTAAGCATATGGTATTATTGTAAGAATAAATATGTTAAGTGAGGTTGATACTCAAAGAAGTAAGGGTCTAAAGTTAGATGGATAGAATATTTTTCTTCTTGATAACCAGTATAAAGCAGTTATGATTATACATATAGCTCTAACAAAATATTATCCTCTCTTTTAGTTGACGTTGACTTTATTTATTTACTGTACATGTGTAAAATGCAAATTTAATAATCTGTTTGTAAATGAACTTGTACGAAGTGTGTGTATGGAAGGCGTTGTTTAGAATGTGAAAGTGTTCATATTCATTATTTTCCTTATTTCGACTTATTCAAAGAACAATGGCAGTAAGTTGATCCTAACCAACTAGAGGTTCTGTGTGACTCAGGCTTTGTTTACGTCGGTTCCTTGTAACTTCAGCCTATGGTTGTTGGTTTGTGTTTGGCCCGGAGGTACGTTGCGTGCTGGGGGTGTGTGGGGAGCAGCGTGTGAAATGAGAAGAAAGAACAAGGGAAAAAGATGAGCCGACGACTCAGTAAGCACATGGACTGCACTTACATGTAATAGAGGAATAAATAGATAGAAACCAGAAACGAAACTAGCAGTTGATAGAGTAAGGTTTCGAATGCGTTACATCCTATTAGTACTATGTATTTACAATCATCAAATAATACATGGTTTTTCAAACAAATAGACCTATGTCATTCAATATTTCATCTGAGAAATTTAGTATTGATTTCCAATAGACATAAAATTGGAATCTAGAACTTTTTGTTGGTTGCATTTAAACAAACTGAACATGGTACATACTCATTCAGTTTAAAGGTATGTAGTGCCTCCGCATATATTCGAGTTCGCTTACATCTAATTAGGTTAAGCCCTTTTCGATTAATTTATTTAACCAAGCCATTTGTATTGCAACAATTTATATGTACCGTTCTTTCTTATAATTATTGTCTGGTTTATGTGAACTCATGTGACTTGTCCCACTTGTCATTTGACCTTGTCAACCATTCGCCGCTTTTATTCATGTGTGTGCATACCTATCTCGTTGGCCACATGTCTGTCTTATTTTTGTCTGACTATATATTCTTAGTCATGCTCTATCTCTTGGAGCTGGCTCATTAGCCATTCTCCACACCGCTCTATACGATTCGCTTCAGTCGCTTATTCGCTTGCCAAATGGTGAACCCGACGTGATACGAACACGCAACCTTCTGATTTGGAGTCAGACGCTATTTAGTAACGATTGTCTAGATGAGCTAATTACCGAGCTTAAGAACACGCAGTAAATCGACACACTACAAATGGTGATCCCGACGTCGAAATGGGCAACTACAGGTATACAAATTGTGAATGGTTGATTTGGAAGCAGTTAAATTTTAGAAAATAGAGACTTTATAACTCATCAGCAATGTGCATCCATAACGACGAAAACCAGAAGCGAACCCAAGACATTCAGTTCCGCCCGCGAACGTCCCATACTACGACGGAACGGCCATCCAGTACTTTCATATTTCCAGTGGTGGTTGAGTGTCGATTGATTCACGATTTCACACTGAAACTCATCAACCCTTTACTGATAAAACATGTTTCGTTATTAATCCCATTCTGCTATGAAAATAATCCCTAGTATATTTTTTTGAGAGTTTTCGTATTAACCTATCTTAAACGTTGGTTCATTCATTATAAAGGGAAAGAGATGAAGCTCGTTTACTGGCAGAACGAGAACGTCAACGTGAACTTTCCAGAGCAACAGAAGAAAAAATCAGTCTTCAAGAGAAAGTTAATGCTTTACAAGAAACTGTAAGATAATCTAAGAATATGAACTATGGAATTTTTTACTGTACTTATTTTGCCAAAATATGTATACATAGATTCCTTTCAACCTGAAACTGTTATATGAGGTGCAAATTATAAGGATTTAGTTGCTGTCAATATTATCATGATATTTAGTGATGAATAAATTACTGATTTAAGCAAAAAAGACGTATTAATTGATTTATCCAGGACAGACAGACACAACGCAGAACTTCGTACATAAGTACATCAGTTCAGGTTGCCATACGACATCAACACACAGAGACGCAACTGTCAGTTCAAATCCAAGAGTGATAGTGATAGTAGAAGTACTAGCAGTAATGGAGAAGATTAAGGAGCGAAGATATGATTCGAGAAGTATAATTCAGTGAGATAAATTTAGAAGGAGAAAGATAGAGATTATGAGGAATTCAGAAGGTTAGGATTAAAGAGAACACAAAGAGTGGATGCACCTGCGCCATTGCAAACGATTTTGAGCCAAGTCGTTCAAGGTCTCCAACCATCGGTTACTAACATCTCGCGGACCCCAACCAGGTAGTCGACAACTACCGGCATGACTCAGTCTACTTGTCAGCGACTTCATGGATCTGCGCCACGTTTTGGTATGGCCACCCCCAGCTTTCTTCCAGCCTACTCCTACACTGCGAAACATAGCTCGTCGCGGCAGTCGGTGGTTAGGCATACGCAACACATGTCTAAACCACCTCAACTGATGAAGTTTCAATGCTTCATTTATTGATTTGCCATCCTTACCTAGAACTCGTTTCCTAACGATATCATTGCTTACTCGGTCGTCCCAGGATACACGAGCAATGCTTCGGATACACCGATGATCGAAGACTAGTAACCTACGAATGTCCTCTACTCTTAACGGCCATGTTTCGCATCCGTATAGTAGGACAGAGTGATTTATCCAGGTGGAAATTTTATTTATCAACGTTCGGAGAATTATTTATAGTCGTTAAAAATTTTAACGTATATATTTATGTTATACAACAGATAAAAATAAATAGCCTACTAATAGTACACTTGGTCAATGTAGAATATTAATTTGGTATAAACAAGACTAACAAAGTTACTTATCGTATTCAACTCAATCAATTGGATTTTTTAATAGTTTAACATTTATAAACAAATACCATTGGAGCACTTTCAAGAAATGAGAAATAGAATTATAAACACCGATATATATTTACTTCCCACATCTTATGTAATCACGGTATGATAAAACCTACTTTCTATAGTCAACATCCTATGTCTGTGTTTGATTTGCACTGGGAAAACTGATACATAAAATACATGCATCCAAACCATGAGTTTTTGTTAGATCAAGTTGTGTCATAGATTTTACTACTAACCAATATAAAATACAGTCCAAATTCTGTACTGCGGTCCATTTTAACTTGAGTTATTCTCAAATTCCAGATACAACCAAAAAAAAACACTTCCAATCTTACTTTAACTTGAATCACTATTATTTTTATTTTTAACAGATTACAGAATTACAAGTTACACTAGACAGAACACAGAAGGATGCAAGCACGCGAGAAGAACACGAGAGATCGGCATTGAGAAAAGCTACTGAAGAGGTTAGGAGCTTTAGAAACCAATTACAAGAGGCTTGGTTAGTTATTACTATTTTATATTAATTATTCTATCTGTCTTATATTGTACTTAACATCACGTTATTAACTCAAATTTTTTACCAAGACTGTAATACGTATCGGCAGTTTACAAATCTCTACTCAAATTTCAACACGTAAAGAATTAATTCACTTAAATGCAGTAAGTTGGTGGATATAGCGATTATGCAGAATAAAAATTGTTCGACGTTCAAAATTTGCAGCAAATACACTGAAACTCTAACCCATGATTCTTTGCTTTCCTTTCATTTAAATTAACGCTTTGTAATTCACAGTTATTGAATAATGTTAACTAATTCAAACCTTTCTGTAATCACTTCTATGTTATCAATGAACATTTTAGTGTATCCTCGTTTTTTATTAAAACGGATGATTTAATAAAGTACTGTCTACTGTACCTTATATTTAACTGTCTGTAAGCATGTGTGAGTGCAATCAAACAAAAATGGGGTATTGTGGAATTCTCAACCCGGTTGTGAGGTGTATATGTTAGCATAGCTTTATTCTCACTAACCCACGAATCAGAAAGTAATAACTAATTGCCCTTTTTAGGCATACTGTTGAGTTGAAAGGAGGCGTTCAGTTTATCGAAAGCTAATCTGGACTGGGAAGTATTTAAATTTCAGCAGTTTTTGTCCACTGCAACACAAGCGAGGTTTGGTAAAATGCCTCTTCAATAGGGCACAAAGGATTTGTACCATGGATACAGTTGAAGATGATGCAAAATTCTTGACTGAAACATTGATTTCAAACACTTATCCGCTAACATTTATCAGTAGATATAAAGCCATTGTATGGCCTAGAGTAATGTGACAAATTCCTACCCTTTCTTCTTATTCTTTTCATATTACGTTAATTTTCTCTCTCCTTTATTTACAATTATCACCTTGTGTCTATTTGAACTGTGACTTAATTGACCTTTTATTAATCATATTAAATGCCTTGACAAGTGACCCAATTGTTCGAAATGTATAGCACAAATACATCACATATTTCCGATCAATTACCTATTCTCATTGTTCTATCAAAATTTAAAAAATCAATAAGTTTGGCTGGATGATATATATTTCTGATAACTGTTTACAGTGACTTTAATAAATTAATGTGCAATGGTTCATGTTTCTTGTTCTGAATAAAATGTTTTTTTCAAAATTACCTTACCTTTAAAATTTTCTACAAGTACCTGTTAATGTACACATTTTTGAAACCATGATACGATCGATGTTAGACCACCATTAGAAACCTGGAAGCACTGGACAGCTGTTTCTTCCTGGTATGGGACTCATCAGCAGTGCGCATCTACGACTGCCGCACCTCGCAGGATTCGAACCCAGGACCTTAGGTACTGTGCGCGAACGCCTAACCATCGAACCACTGAGCCGGTATCTAATTATTGATGTACCATACTGTAAGCACATTGTTTAAGGATATTAAGTGTCTAACTAAATTACTCATCATCGCTGCCGTCCGATCTATTCTTTTGAGTTTTTTTGTTCTTGACCTAATGTTAATTAATTCGTGATCTTTCTTATTGATTCCGTTACTGAGAAGATCGGATGGAAAGCACAGCGTTTTTATCACAACAATCGATTATTTTATATTTGCTTCATCAAAGTTATATTTCTAAAAGTACTATTAATTTATGAAATTCATGTATATTTAAAAAAATTTTGTAAACTATCAAGTTAAAACCAAATGGTTCGCATTTTCAACCTTAATCAACTCGCGGGTTAGTGAGGCATACACTATAACGAAGCGACTATCTAGAGCTACTCGGTTATCAATACTCCTCCAAACGAAAAAAAACCACATACTTTGGTTCGGGCACGCAAGCAGTAACACATCCCACTCACAAATTCCATTATTTGTGCGGTGCAGATTTATTTAAGTTCCCCTTTATATCAATATTTATGCGTTTAAATAACTTAAATTTTCTTTCATAGTTCGGAACATGAAAGAGAAAATCGAGAATTACGAATGCGTATCCACAGTCTTGAAAGTCAAAGAGATCAATGGACAAAAGAGGTTAGTGAACTTCAATTACAAATCCGATTGGCTGAAGAGGTTCGAGATACTAATCGAACAGAATTAGTAGACAGTACATGTCGTATTCGTGCTTGTAAGTTTATAATAAAACGTGTTAACATACAATTATTAACTTAATATTAAATCATAACAACTTCAAGTTATTAATTTTAAAAATTTATTTAAATTTCACAGTGCCTTCAGTGACACTTGGTTCATTGAGTTTATACATTTTAAATAAATGGAATGAACTGAATTACATATGAAAAGGATAAATATTGGTTAAGTGAAAGTTTTCTTCTCGGTGAATTTATTTTCAAGGCTATCAAGTTCTAAATATATATTGTTTTCAAAATGATATGCAGCGATTCTACAATCTCCACAACCCACTACTAACAACTGTCATGTGCTCACTAGTAACTAGCTTCGAGAGGATATTTCCCGAGTTCTTGTGAGCAGCCTTGACCAGTAGAGCTAAACTGTGACGAGTGAGACAGTTACTTACCGGAGACAATGGAAGATGACCGCACATGATCGTGGGCTGATTGAAGCTTAGTGGTCTAGAATTCAGGCGTTACCGTGCGAGACTTGAGGTCCTTGATTTGATTCCCGGTTGCAAGGTAATGAATGCGCACTGCTTAAAAGTCCTAAACTAGAAAAAAAAAGGCCGTTCAATGCTTTCAATGATGTTCTAACTTAGATCTGTCTATGATTTCAATGAATTCCAACATTCTGCACAACCCCATATCAACTATGAAATACCGATTTGTATTTTTTAAAAATTTTAAACAACTGGTATCCACATGCTATGAAAATTATTCCGAAAGTGTATCACTTAACTGTATCAAATGTGAAGAGTTAGAGGTTGAAATGAACATGGACTTCGATTATCTTTACGCCTTTTTTACAATACTTTTACCGGCAAAAGGAAATAAATGAATCACATATTAGTGATATAAGATAAAATTTCATTTAGGTAACGTTTAGGAACATCAATCCACATTGTTTTATAGACACAAATTATATATACAGAACAGTTACCTCTTGTGGTGGTGGTGTTTGGTTCTCTGAGCTGGGTGTTTCGGTTGTGGAGCTTTCATTGTTCTTCTGAACAATATCATCATCACAAACTTCAGATAGAAGTGAAGCATTCGAATTTCTTCACGTTTCACCTGTAGCTTGTTCTGCTAACCTCAATCTTGATTGGTTGCTGTTGACCTTAAACCTGTCGTTGTTTGCAACTTTGTTTTGATTGCATCCTCCTTTTGATCTGTTTCTTGATCTTATGTCACCTATGATTTTCCTGATTGGTCAAACGTGGGGAAATTCGAATGCTTCACTTCTATCTGAAGTTTGTGCTGATGATGTTGTTCAGTAGAAGAACGATGAAAGCTCCACAACCGAAACACCCAGCTCAGAGAACCAAACACCACCACCACAATCATACACCTGAGGTACAAATCTTCTCCACCATCTCAAAATCATATGAGAGTTACCTTTTTCTATAACTTTTTACAAAATACTTATGCTTCATTTTTATTTGCTAAATTAATCTACTGACTAATGCCTTTTTTTAATTGATTTGTTTATCAGTGGAAGAAACAAATGATTCTTCAAGAAGAGAATGTAGTGAATTACATCAAAAACTTGGTGAATTAGAACGTGAAAACAATGCTATCAATCGTTCTAATGAAGAATTAAGAAAACAATTGAAATGTGTTGAATTAGAACGTGTCGATTTAATTCGTATGACTAATTCACTAAAATCGAAACTTCAAGGAACTGAAATGGATCGAACAAGTTCAGAAAAACGTGTAGCTGATTTACAAGTTGATTTGAAAGAAGTTACAACTTTAGCAAATGAAAGCAAACGTGAAATTGTGGAATTACGCAGTAAACTACAAAGACTTGAAACAGAAAAAGTGAAATTAACTGAAGAAATTGAAGAGTTAAAAGTTCGTTTAAGAGATAGTGTGAATCAAGAAGAAAGTTTAAAACGGTTTGTTGTTTTGTTGTCTGAATGATTCATTCATTAATAATATATTCAAGTGCAATATAGTTTATACTTGTTTCTCCTACTTCATCTCTATTTTAACGTGATCAATTCGTGTAACTCATTACACTGCTTACATCTTCATTTCTATTGAAATCAATCTTAATAATTAGGCTCATTTGCTCTCCATCAATTAATTTTTCATATTTTAATATAAAACTGTGTACTTATGTTGAGCCGTAATAAGGAACTAATTTACATGGAATATTTCTTTGCTAGGTCCGAAAAAACTAATCATGGTTTCACGGATTCCTATTACGTGTTATCTTTGCTGTTAACAAGTATTTATTATTGCGGTGAACATTATCTGAGCTTAATTCAATAAAAAATCATATTAGTGAACATCAAACTAAGCTTCTAATCGAGAAGTTGTTTTACACATGTGACTACTTCCAAAATAACTTGATATGTGAATATTCCTTGAAAAACTTAGTTTACAATTACTGTGGATTTTTTTTATACCCATACTTGATTTGACTACTGAGAGGGAGAGAGTAGTATTAGTATTAGTAGTAGTACCCTTGTATTTGTTTAATTATAAAATAATAGTAGTTTTACACACAATACTACACTGTATCTTAGTAACGGGTACATATCTTGACAAATTAGTATATTTTTATTATAGAGTTGTGGAAATTGTTGAATTTCCTTGTAGTCATGAATCGATTAGTGTTAGACCACCATTAGAAACCTGTAAGCACTGGATCAATTAAAGTTAGACATTAACACTGTTGGATGTCGGCTCAGTAGTCTAGAGATTAGGTGTTCGCGCGTGAGACTCAAGGTCCTAGGTTCGATTCCCGCGTGCAGGGGTCATGGATACATACGCCTGATGAGTCCTATAATACGATGAAACGCTCATCCACTGCTTCCAGGTTTCTGATGGTGGTCTAGCAGTGGTCACTTGATGATTTCAGTGAAATTAGTATATTTCATGAAGTGAATGCAAAAATATTGTAGTTTAGTTTGTGAGTTAGCAGTCTGAATCGTATGCAGTGAATAAAAAATTTCCATGACACTTCCATTATATAATGTGAACTAAGCACTGCTTTTATTTTTATTATACAGTATAATTCTTGAAAAACAGAAAATGCACCCACATTTCAATCTGTTGATTTGCTGCTTCTTATGACAGTTTATATATTTTTAAATAATACAACTTCAAAAAAACCTCATCAACTAACGAGGTTATAGAATACTAGTAAATTGATTGATTTCACTCTAAAGATTATTTAATTAGTACATGAGTTTCACCATATTTTATAGCATGAACATAAGAGAAATGAATCAAATCACACTGGTCGGTAATCATTTTACTTGATTCTATCTATCTTACATAAAGAAAATAAGCGATATACGAATAATGAACCATGAATAAAAGTTATTTAAAATTACTTATGTTAAATTCTTTCCATAAACTAGTGAAAAAGTTACACTTAAACAAAAACTTATGGAAATTGAATCAACCAAATCAACACTACAATCGGAATTGACTGATTTAAATCATCAAATGTCTGAATTGGAAGAAATACTTCGTTCAAGAGAAAGAACAGCTAATCAAGCTGCAGAAGATTGGCAAAAAGATTATCAACGTTTAATTGAATCAAGGAAAAGTTTACAATCGAAAGTAGGTTATGCTTAGATTTGAATTGATTTGTTGATACAAATTTTTAAAAAAATGAGTTTATTAACATAAAATCCGTCATGGATAGTGTCAACTGTTTGGGCTGTTACAAGTAATGTTTATTTTTTAAGCGTCATTTTGTCATTTTAGTCTAGGTTGTTCATCACTTGTAGAACAGTTTGATGACTACAACAGATTTCACCATTGGTAGGATTAAAAAATTACACCGCTTCTCATCACCCAATAACCAATTCATTTGGTTTACTCTGTACTGAGAAAATTTAGCTATTGCTTCCAAATAGGCCGATGACTATCACTGTACATTGTGTGTTATTAATTCTCACTGGATTGAAGAACGCCAGTTTTAAGCTATTTAAAACTATATTGACATGGGAGCAGAATTTCAGTCAATCAACAGCAACACCGACCATTCAATGTTAAGTATAATCAAATGCATTATTACATCAGTTACACTAAGTAGATTAATAAGAAATATTCTATCAATCGCTAAACTGATTTTCGTTTCAAAATAAAATATTTATTCAAAAGATTTATCACTGTATACATTTAAAATCTTATGTGATAATATGTGCCTTTTTTTTACTTTACACGCTACTATTTCAGTTGGACAATTCAAATATAGTGATCAGTGAACTTCGAACATTATTAGCTGAATCACAAACATGTATTAAAGGATTAGAATCTGAATTGAATGAAACACTGACTACACGTCAAGAAGCTGAAGCACGTCTATCAGCAATACATAGTATATTAAGACGTTTAATTGGTTTTCGTCAATCTCAATATACTACTCAATTACAAGATATGAATAAACAACAACAACAAATGCAACAATTGAATGGTCATTTCGATTCTAGTTTAGCTGAACAAATAGATACATTGGATAAATCACATGATGCTCATTCACAATGGGATTATGATGGTTATATGAAGAATACATCTGGAATAGATTCATTTGAACAACAAATAGATGGTTTTAATGAATCCGATTCTAGAAGAATCAAAATGATGGCTGAACAAGTATTAAATAGTCAACAAGATATAAAACCTGAAGTGTCATATACATTTAGAAGTGAACAAATACCGAAACCACGTGCACGTGGTCGACGCCGATATGAAGCTTATACTAGTTCTGATCCAGAAGATGCCCAACAAAAATCTTTAAGACGTGCTAAATCAGCTTCACCAACAAGAGGTATGTTTTATTAAAAAAACAAATTTATTAACTGAACAGTCTAGAATTTAAATTATCGGCTCAAACGCTTATAAGTGCCCTGAAATCTCAAATATCAGGTTTTAATAGCAGAAAACTTCAAGAAGTTTAACTAAATCACTAAATCTTAACCATTTTTGAAGATTAAACAAGCTTTTGAACACTATAGTATACATGAAATAAATTTGTAACTGATTAAACAAGCATGGATCTGATACACTGTGACATGACGATGATAACTGCACCACAGTACTTCAGAGTTTCAGAAAATCGATCAGTCAGTAATATTCGATATCGCTACATTCACAGTTGGTTAAATTTCAAGCTATTCATATTTATGTTTTCATTAAAGAGTTATGGAGATTGTTAAGTTTCATTGAAATCATGAATCGATCAATGTTCGATCACCGTTAGAAATCTGGACGCACTAGATTTATTAAGATAAAAAGTTAACACCGTTAGATGCCGGCTCAATGGTCTAGAGGTTAAGCGGACGCATGAGCGGAGGTCGTGGATGCGCACCGCTGATGAGTCCCATACCAGAACGAAACGGCCGTCCAGTGCTTCCAGGTTTCTAATGGTGATCTAACAATGATTGGTTGGCGATTTCAGTGCGTTAAAACGTTAATCCCCATAACTCTAGTTAAAAATACTCTGTCTATATAACTGAAATGTTATAAACCTTTAATGAAACATGGATCATATTTCTTACATTACAGTAAACAGACATGATGGATTCGTCCTACGTTCAACATCTACTGAAAGAGCAAATCAACAGAGATTAATTGATAGTACATTTTATTCAGGTGATGAAAATGGATACTCATTCTATCCTAATTATTTAACACATTTAAATGATTGGTCTTATAAATGGTTAGATACTATACGTTATCATATGAATGGTTATAGAGTACATGCTTTACCTGGTTCTAATTTAGATCCAGGCGCTGTACGTTTAGCATTAAGACGATTTTTACGTCATCTTGTAAAAATTGAACGTGAACGTGATGATTTCGATATAAAATCAAAATTGAATGAAGAAAAACTTATCGAATATAGTCGACAATTAAATGAACGTGAAGAACAATTGAATGAAATGAGAACAAATATTAATGAAATGGAAAAAGGTATGTTTAAATACATAATCAATTAAGAAGTATTGATTAAACTAGATAAATTTTCGGTGATTAGATTAAAAACTACTTTTCTTGAATTAGTAATTCCCAGAATAAGATTTAATTGTTGAAATTAGGTTTTATTTTAAACCGAAATTCCATAAAATGCAAATATAAACAACTACGTTCGCCTTCTGTTATCTTAACCAATCCGATTCACTGTGCGTTGAGTTACTAGTTAAATAATAAGATAGTTTCTTGTAAAAATCTCAAATCGATCTCTAGCTTGACATTTTTACAAGTGTCAACTAAAAATCCATTATGACGAGCAATAAACAATCACTACATTATAGAAAGTCAAATCTTTATGGCATACAAACAACTAAAAGGCAATTACGGTTATTGTGGGAAAAATGGTTCATGCAGGATTATATAGGTTTTATACATAGCCATATTGTGTATGCTGACATCTAATAAACATGTATTTGTTCTGTTTGTGAAAGTATCACTCTGATTTCAACTAGCTTAAACAAAACTATGGCTTTTTATTATTACATACGGTAATGTTAAGTGAACTTCAAAAGTTTTAAAAGCAATTTATTGCTTTTACAACTGATCCTATTGTTTTTACTGAGTTTTAGTAAGCCGATTGGTCGATTTTCCGAGTCAGGTTTAGTGTTACATGTTCATATTTTGTTGATTATCATAATCCTCACTAGAAAATGGTGCCTTTATCCTCGACGAAAAGTCACAACATATTTGGTACTTAGTTTTATTTGATTTCAGTTATTTTCAACGAAACACTTCAGTTTACTGGTATATCGATTCTGTCATTACACTTGGTCAATATTAATTGGTATCTGACTAGACGATTATGCGCGTCAAAATTTGTTTCATCAAACATATTAACTGTTAGCAGATATCCATTTCTTTGATCTCAAAACTGTCATACAGTTTTCTTTCGATACTCCCTAATAATTATAACTGAGTATTGAACGATATTATGCTTGTCTGATCATTTAATATTCATTGAATTCTATTAGTCAAATTAAAATGTGGCCACTAGTCCAAATGACTCGACACTGTGTGCACAATTTGAAGATGTTAAGTGGGTTGAAAGCATTTAACCGACAGGAAATTGTTGACCTAAGCTTAGCGCTAGTTGAATCTCATCAACGAGCCGTACTGGAATCCTAAGGAAACATGCTTTAAATGGGTTTCGAGGTCGACGTAATCAGTTTCACAGTACGAAAAGCCATGAACGGGCTATTCGGGCCTTTCCCTTCTCATTACTTTCAACCACCTTACTGCTCAACGTAGTGCTAACTAGCATATTTATATCCTTTTAAAGATATTACTTGACAAAAATTCTTAGTGTAATACCAACTATCGTTATCAGTACTACCGAAACATTAACTATGATCCAAATTAACTGTAATAAAATATTGTTATACATCAATGTTTTCTCAAAGTAGGTATTTCTTGATTAATTATTTTAAAAAATTTAAAAATGATTACAAACTGATTGTAATCTTAATTTTTTCATTTGTCTCTCTTTCTTCATTTATAAACAAATAAAAAAAAATAGGAAAATTAGAAATTATGGAACAATTGAATAAAATGAAAAATACCATTACAGAACATGAAAATGAAATGTCTAAACGTGAATATCAATATACAACATTAAATAATCAAATTAAAACTTTAGAACAACAATTAAACTCATGTGAAACTGAGAAAAATCAATTACAAGTAAGCATCGAAATTATTTTATGCCGAAATAAATGTTATCCATTCATAATTAATTAGATCATGACGATTTTTATGGTTGATCGATCGATATCAGTGGAAATGTACACTTCAATAATAATAATAATAATAATAATAAATAATCCAATGTCTTTTTACTACTGAATGCCCATATATATATATATATATATATATATATATATATATATATATATATATATATATATACGAAAATAAAAAGAGCTATCATACAGATGATTTGTTTACTAGGAGAAGAAAAATCATCTCAAGTTTACAAGCATATAGAAAGAAATATTCTTACTTTATATAATTTGTAATGACGATGACAATCTTTAATTTATTCTTGATGATATAACTGATTCAATTTGTGTTTTATATTTTTAGTGTAAATATGAATTTGAAATCATGAATCGACCAATGTTAAACCATCATTAGAAACCTGAAAGCACTGGACGGCCGTTTCGTCCTGGTATGAGACTCGTCAGCAGTGTGCATCTAAGACTCCTGCACCTCGCGGGATACGAACTCAGAACCTTCGGTCTTGCGCGCAAGCGCCTAACTTCTGGACCACTGAGCCGGTATCTAAAGATGTTAATGTCGAACTTCAATCAATTCACAGTCTTGCGCAACCTCATACACTCTCTTCGGTAGTTACTGTCTACATCAGAAGTGTTCGAATCCCGCAAGATGCATGAGTCGTGGATGAGTACTGCTGATGAGTGTGGTGGTGTTTCGTTCTCTGAGCTGGTTGTTTTGGTTGTGAGTCCCATACCAGGACAAAACAGCCGTCCAGTGCTTCCAGGTTTCTGATGATGGTCTAACAATGATTGATTCATGATTTCGAATGTGTAACTTAGCAGTTTTCACAACCCCGTAATGTAAATATAAATTGATTATCGACTACGTATTTTTTCTCATTGATTTGAACTAGGCCAATAAATTTAGCTATAGTAGAACTAACAGCTAAGTTTACTAACTGACAATCTACTCATTAAATATTCATACTTTTTCCGTGAATATTTTATCTAATGACTGGAATCGATTAATTTTTTCCTTATCTTCCTCTTCTCCCCGATTTTTTATCAATGGATTCTTATTCTTATGATAGTTTATCTAAAATTCACTGAATAACCTTTGAATCAATCTAAATCAAGATGATGACAGTAATTTATAATTATAGTTGCTCAGTCTAATTTGTCGTTGACTAAAATCAATAGACTTCTATCTAAGGCATTTAAAGTTTTTCTTCTATACAAAAATACGTCCCCGATACTTTGATAATTAAATAAGGTATCATTGTTGTTGATATAATATCCTTAAAGATTTTTCTATAGTGCGGATTTAGAGAGAATTGCATAACTTGGCATAACAATAAAGTTCTGATTTGTGATTGAGATTTAGACAACATGATACTAATTACAATTAAATGATTGATTTTTGTATACATTTTCATTTCTGATTAGATCAGTTGTAATTTCCAGTTAAAATACTGAAAACTTACAAATGTAAAAGTATAGCTAACGTAGAACTGCTCTTCCTGCCCCTTTAGTTGAGTTCAAAAATGCACTAAGTGAATTGAACCGAGTCATATATTTCCCTTATACGTGGTTAATATACAAGGATACTTGACCACATTACATCAATAAATGGAAAATAACAACAATACATGAACCGGACAAAATTGACTGTGAATAGGTGAGACTGAGAAACAGATTATAAATAATAAATCATAATACAGCAGTAGTGTTAATGAGTTACTCAAGAACTCAAGATACAAAAAATATATGTAGATAACAATCTAGTTACTTAGTAATTATGCAATAAGAATATATGTATAATAATAGTTTATAAATTAATTTCAAGTGTTACAATCTCTTCAATTTGCGTATCGATTTCACATTCCTTACGTCTTAACAACGTTTAGATACGTCTGGATAAGTCAAGAGCTGTAGAAATGAAGTTAGAAGAAAATAGACGCGAATTATTGCATTCACTAGAGGAAGCAGAAACACGTTATACACAAGCTGAAATTGTTCGACGTCAACTGGAAGGTGAACTACAACGGTGTCAAACTATGCTAAACGAATTGGAAAGTGATAAAGAGGTGAGTACTTTGGATAATGTTTTAAAAACGATTTTGTTTAATTTAGCTGTAAACGACCGGTCTAAATAACTAAAAGGCCATAAAAAATTACTGAAGTCTGTAAGTATAAGACTTGCTGTATCCCCACATCTCGAAATTCACCTGCGGGTCTCAGTTCACATTTACATGACTCTATTATCTCCTGTATAACCCAAATCAGCGGTTATTAAGTATAGCTGCTTCGGTTTTATTCTGTTACTGACTAGTTACGGTCCATGTGTACAAAATGAATAGTCCTCAACATAGCCTTCTAAAACTGCTTTAACAATAGGGTTCTCATCAAGCTCCGGAATACACTAGTATCACTGGTGAAAATCATTCTGTCGAACACTTTTACTAGTATGAATTTAAGATTTAACAGTTATTTTTATCAATAAAGCATTATGGAACAAATCTAACTATGAAGCATGTCGGTAAACTAAAGGATTAACAAAGTTGATGTATGCAAGTATAGAAATCTGTGTTGATAGAATGATTTAAAAAACAAAGTTTTAAATACATCAACGATATTAAACAGTTGATTTATGCCTTAGAAGATCTATGATTAACTGTTTAGGTTGCTTGTTTGAAACCTACACTACTTAGTTTTATCTGAGTTAAGAAGCACTAACCCATCTCAATACGAAAGGTATAATCTGCAGTTTGGTAGAAGCATGAATATTGGTACGCTGAGCTAATCCAAATATGTCACGTGCTTGTGTACACATGATAACTCTAGGTGGAATGGTAGGTGAGGGATGTTAAAGAAAGCACCCTCTTCATAAAAGTCATTTATGCAAATGCTTAAGACTTGAACTCAACAGATATATGTACATCCCAATAGGGTGTTTACACTAATTGATTTAGTTAGTCAATATAAATACTCAGTTATTCTTAGTCATCTTACTCACTTACTAGGTTGAGTTCGCGCACTGATTAGTATCAAGACCAAACAGCAGCACGATATTATAAATATCCATGACTAATGATATTTATGTAGATATATGTCAGTGATTAATCTTAAGACCAATGCTTATTGACTATAAAAATGAACAACAATTTATAAACAGTAAACAACATTTCCATTAAATCCAAATGATGAAAAACCTTTTTCTGAATTCTTCTTTTCAATTGTGTTTTACACCAGAATTTACAATCCCGTTTAAATTTGACTGGACGTCAAGGTACCGAAATGGAAATGAAAATATACAATCTTCAAATTGAATTAGAAAGAGCTACAAATGCTTTAGATCAAACAACTTTATGTGTAGCTGAGTTACGTGATCAACTGACACGGGAAAAACTAGCGTATGCAAATTTACAACAAGAATTAACTAGAACACAAGAACACATGGAAGCATTACAAAAACGTGAATTGAATGCAGAACAAGAAAAACGTTTATTACAAGTAGGCTAATAATTATTATTGGAACTTATTTATTATTAAGTGTACTTACATAAATAATAATGAATGAAAAGATATGATTATCATTAGCTTTTAAATAAAAAATCTAATCATACAGACTGTCATTTAATTCCAATAGCTCTTCTTACGATTGCTTACTTCAATCCTTGAGATTTTATAGAACAATAATTGAAAAGTGTTTCCTTTGTCTCCTTATAGATACATACACTTTGTGGATAAGTGTTATCATATTTCCGATCCATAAGGATGCGTGTTTACTGACTAGTTATAACGTCTCTAAGGATTAAAGCACATTATTAAAACAGTGATAACTTTTTTCGTCCTGCAAAAAAATGATATATTACTAATTAACTAGGACAATGTTAGACCTGATACCGAATTAATTTAGCTAACTAAAATAGCTTTTGAAACTAAATAAATTCACACCGTCTGAACTGATTCAAACCAGCAGACTTTTCAATATAATAGCTTGAAACGAGTAAATGATGTAGAACCAACAAATTCATGTTACTGTTTGGTAGTGTCTAGCAATAAAATCTAGAATTACTTGTTGATCAGTCTACTGGATACATCTATGTTGCATTGAAGATACACAGAGTTAGTATTCGTTACTTCACACCAACAGATCGTCATATATTTGGTCATTGCTTTTGCGACAACCATTTCTTATTCAACAACTATTAACTACGATTAGAACATATATTTTTATTACTGTTATTCATATTATCAGGTAGACTTGTTCAGTTAATGTTGAAATTTCTGTCTCTCGTACAATTTGATTTTGTTACTTATTTAATAGTAATATATATATTCGTTCTTCATAATTGCTGAAACTTAATAATTCCTCAAGACTAGTACCTTCAGTGATTTAATGTCAGAGTTAGCTGGTGCTTAGAAAAGATTTCGATAACCGCATAAGATCAACCAAAAACAAATGAGGTTTTAGTCATATTTCAAAAGATTTGTGAATTTAGATAGTGTTCGATCTTCTAGCCCTTAGCATAGAATTTTACTTCGTTCTTTAGTTAAACAATCTTATGTAACATTGTTCATGAATGGAACTATATATTGTCTGTTGATTCATTAATAAAAAAAACTTTTTTACATGTAGTATTCATCTTCATCTTTTTCATATCAGAGTGATATGAATCAAGTTAGTCGAATAGTTGACCTTTTCATATTTTCCTGTTAGAGTGTACTTTATTATTACTGCAACAAAGTGATTTGTAGAATAATTTCAGATGGTCAACTCACTGGATTTATAAATCCTACAATCATTTTATATACATAGGAAATTCATTGACAATCGTCAATGGAATAGATTGATTACAATATTTCAATTCTTCAGAAAATTCTAAACCATATTGAAACAAAGATATGTGAAAGCATCTTTCTATATCAAACTACAATTGTATTACATTTAAATGAACGACAATATCTAAGTCATGAAAAATAAAGCTTCAAAAGTAGCAGGATCAGTAAAAAGAAAAAGTGGCTGAAACAAACACAAACATTGTACCACTTTGTGAGTGAAACGCATGAATTATGACGATCAAATAGGTAACTTTTTCCCAAGAGAACAACTCAAAATCGAAACTTTTTCTTACTTAAATGAAAACCATACTAATATGTGGATTTATTAATCTCTTTGTCTAAATTAGGAACGTCTAGATAACAATAAAACTTTATTAAATGATACTAAAGTTCAACTACATGAAATGATGGAACGTGTACAAAAACTACAACAAGAAACAACAGATGCAGCAACTAAACGCTCTGAAGTAGAAATACAATTAAAGCAATTAGAAAAAATGTCAACCGAATGTCAACATACCAATAATGAATTACAAATAAAAATCAATAATATACAAGGTAAGAGAAAGTGAATCTTTTAAAAAATAGATTTATGCAATTATTGAAAAACAATATCACTAAATCATGGGAGGACAAGTTAAGTAGTGTTGTTGAAGGGAGACTGTTATTTTAAAGCTATTTTTCAGTCATTAACAGAGGAATTGTGTAGAAATCAAAAATGATTTTGCTAGATAAACAATCAAACCCTAGGAATTCTACAATTTTTTTCCAACATCGCTAAGCAATCTGAATTATTTGAAAGTCAACAGGTTTCTTTTTGAATCGTTTTCCTGGACGTAAATAGTTTTATACGAAAATTCACCTACAAAAACATTATCAAGAAATTCACTGGAAAGTTATAACACAACAATATGATGAAGTTATGCGCAGAAATAATGATACATTTTAACATGCATGCGTTTCCGCTATCGCTGTCATTCAGTAAACCAGGTGCCAAGTGGTTTAAACGATTGTCGACATTGTACAAAAGAGTAAAAAAAAATCTCGACAATCAACGTGCTTCATGGAGTCTGAAATGTCGAGGGTGTCTATATATTTGTTGTATTTGTCCCATTAGATTGTCATTTTCCACCTACGATGCCAAAAAGATTTCTAATTACGAGCATTCTAAGCAACCTAATAAGGTATTTGAAGAGACAATTGTTAGAACTATTGTTAGAACTATTGGTCAATTCTTATTGGTTAATTCCTACTGGTCAATTTTATGGTCGTCCTAGATATCAATGTCAATTAAAATGTTCTTTCTTATTGGTCGCCTTAACTGTCAATGTCACAGATTTCGATGCTGTTTCCTACTCGACCTAAATGTATAAATACACATTATCTGTAACGTTTTATGAACCGGACCCGGATCCCTAGTCCGGGATCCTGATCCTTTTCTGAACTTTGACATCGTACTTTCTGGATGCTTGTAGAATACAGGTTCTACTTCATATCAAGTCTTCTTCTTTGAGTCAATGGGGGTTGGGACACTCGGATTAGAGTAGCATGTCGTGCCGCTGGATCCTCGCTCTCGTTTTCCGACTAATATAAACTCGTAATAATTCAAACATATCAGATGACGTGGTTTACGTACATTTGTAACATATACTGGCTATCACGAGCAAACTAGTCTACCTAAATAATTAAAATATATGAATATTACTCTGATTAGACAAAAAACTATTACATATTTACTTTGAAGATGTATATTACATAACCTATCTGTAGGACTAACCGATATGAAACTGTAATAGAAATCTGTTAAATAAACTGCTAAATAAACTGAAAGTAGACAGGCTTATACAGACAATTAAAAGGAAGAATATAATCCAGCGTAAACATTTGTTATCAAACATAAATTGAGATTAGAACATTCTATGAATACAACAAATAATTACTACACCAATACTGATTTTTCTCTATACAACGAACTTTTAGAGTGATTATTTCATTTGATTTAGAAGTTAACCAACTTATTTCTAATATACGCATTAATATATTACAGTTGAGAACGCTAATTTAACTGAGAAAAATGCAAACTTATTACGAAGTATGAATGATGCAGGAATACAAAAACATGAAATCGATTGTGAATTGACACGGGTAAGAAGAGAGCAAATTCAATGGAAAAAAATGGCAGAAAAAGTAAGTTTTACAATAATGAATGCTTGTTTCAGCTACTATTGAACCTACACACCACTTCTTTGAGAAGTTCTCTGAGACATTTGATGATACTGTAAATATGACTCGACTTATATGACCTTTAATCATCCACAGTTCATTTGAATATTCGTCAATATTTGACAGAAAATACTTCAGAAGAAGGTTTGGCAAGCACAAAGGAAGATAGACAGCAAAAACGGTGCATATACAGGCTAATCAGAACAGCCTGAACACAAAAGATGTAATACAATTAGCTACCACCTGATAAATGCTTATTAACAAGTAATTCGGACCGTACCTTGTTTATGTCACACGTACCTTTGTCCTAGCAAAAAGGAAAATAATCTTAATATTCTAAGATCAATTTTCTCATTTAACATACGTTTCGACATCTTATAAAACTTTTCGATTCTACGATTACTGTTACTAGACAGAATAGTTAACATGTCTTTGGTGGTAAAATGAGACTGCATTTATTCACTCAAAATTGTAATCACCTATAACATAATGGTACATATATGCAAACATTTATGCCTTTCACATTGTGAATTTATTATATTTATTCACATTTAACTGACTCATAATTTCCTAACCAAGTTTTTAGAGTAGATTTGTTCGTTGAACGTCATACATTATTTGATTATTACTTTGAACAAGTTCGAACAAGTTTGCTGGATGAAATTTTGGGATTACTTCAATCGCTGAGTTTCTTTTAAGTATAGTTCTTTACATATAAGCCAACCTTTTAGTCACTAGAACTCCGAGAATTGAGAAGCGGTGACCAGCGGAGTTCAACCCTGTAGAGTGTAGGCAGTGGCTACTGAAAACTGTGGGTTAAGTTGCGCAAAACCATGGATTGATCAAAGTTAGACACTACCACCGTTGGATGCAAGCTCAGTGGTCTAAAGGTTAGGAGTAAGCGCACGAGACCGAAAGTCCTGGGTTTGATTCCAACGGGCGCAGGTCGTTGATGCACACTTTCCGTTTATGTCAGATTTTAAAAGTTACAACTGAACTAGAAAAGTCTCTTTACTGTTGAACCAATGAAATGTGAAAAGTCTGAAACAAACAAACAAAAACACATTCCTTGATATATGGAGTTATTTTCTTTTTATAGTTTTATTGAACACATGGTACCAACCAATCACAGTCAACTAGCTATTCCATAACCATAATTTAGAAAAAGGACTTTCCTTAATATAATGATTTACGATATTAATGTACTAACAGTTTTCATAGTATTAGCATGTCAGAGTACTGATTTGTTTATCGTGTGTTATGAACATCTACTCATGTTTCTTGTTATCTTACATCTATGATTAGTGTTATCATACACAGAAAGAATCTCTTGTATGCTAAACATTAACCAATATACTATTTGTTAATAAAAATTTGATATTTGACAGAATTCCTTAAGTAGTTCTCTTTTTTTGAAATTCAGAAGTTAAAAAATTCTAACAGAGCTTGAGATCTTCAATATTCATTGAATAGATTTCAATGTTTTATTGTGTGAAAATAGTTTGCCTTTAAGTGATCACCAGATCACTTTGTTTAAAATAAATAAGATGATTTACACGTAATGATTACAATTAATTCCCGTAATTAATCATCCTTTTGTTTTCTCGATCAACAATTTCAGATGGAAAGAGAACGTGCAAGAGAACAAGAATTAAATCATACATTACGTAATGAGAATTCTGAATTGATGGCAACTATTCGTGGACTAGAAGAAGAAACATTAAATTTACGTCGAGAAATACAAAAACTTCAAGTAAATTAAAGAGATAGTTTTAACACTTATTTTATTGACAGTAATGTCTTATTTTCTAGAAAACAACGAAGTAGTAATACGTCTTAGTTTATGACAACTTAATTCAATTTGAAAAACTACCCTAAATTAATATTTATTTCAGCGGTTTATGAAAAAAAGGACATATTTAATTTACATACTCAATGGGTAGGAAGGATTTGATTGTGACCGATTCGGTCTCGCGTGCTGGTACGGGTATGAGAGCGGATGTCACTTCCCGGTTGCCCACACCATGGAAGGGTGTTTCTTGAACTTGAAAAGTAAGATAGATTAGTGTTGGTCTTAGAGACCTGGGAGAGTAACCGTAGAGCCCAAGCGACAACTGCTTCAGGCTGGTCTCAAGGTTTTTTTATGGGGAGCTTTTAAAGTGGTAGCTTCTCTCAAGTGACCTTACCGCCGGAGACGGAAATCTGTGAGGTAAGGTGAGGTGTGTTATTCTTAGGAACGATATTTTCTAACCCCTTCCTTCTTTGTGAGAAGGCAGCATCACTGCAGATGCTGGTCGTCCGCGGGAAACACCTTACTATTGTCACACCCCTCTGCAGTCAGCAGTACGACTTCGCCCTCAGACGTTGAGGTGCTGTTTTTAGTGCCATTGTTCTTCAACCGACCTGTCTGGCATGGTAGAAACTTCAAGAGCATATGTTCCAGCCAATATAGCTCGTCTGGGTCCTCACGATAGGCAAGCCCGACCACCACGGTCGGGACATTCTCAGTGAATGAAAAAAACGAATTCTTTCACCTTGCAAACTAGTGTCCATAATGTGGTAGCTCAGTGGTCAGAGAATTCAAATTTAAACCACTAGACAGCAGATTTGAGTCCTGCTTCATCTACTTATGTTTGAGCAGTAAGATAGTATCAATGCCCCTCACATATTAACTGTGCCTCACATGAATCTACACATGGTGAGTTATATCACCAGTCTATAGTAAATTCAGGTTGTAATGTTGCCATGTATTTGTGAAAAAAGTCAAGTTATTTTTTATTCAGTAACCATTTTCTTAGAAATGATATCCGTACTTCAAAATAAACAGTAGGACGATCTTAAAACCGGTTAGAAAAATAACTAATCGTTCGATTTTCATACCAAGTGCATTTTACTAAGAAAGATTCCCAATAGAAGTCTTACTAATTACTAGCATTTATTAACAAAAAATTATCTTAAGCGAAAATGAGCGTAATTCGAATACAATATTTCATTAAAAATTTTTAATAATCAGGTACATATGGCTCAACAGGATGAACAATATGCAGCTCAATTAATTGAAGTCAATACAAAACAACGTCAAGAATTAGAAAATGAATTAGATCGACAAAGAAACGCTTTGAATGATACACAAAAAACACTACAACTCAAAGAACGTAGCTATAAACAACGTGTACGTGGATTAGAAGATCAGGTGAGATAGCACTATATAATAAGAATTTCTTTTACTAGTTATCTTTTCTTCACACTATATTAAATAACTAGGTAGTATCAGTGGTTAAAAGAGACTCAGCAGTCAGTCAGTTACAACATGGAACTTCATACATGAGTACATAAGTTCAGGTTGCCATACCGCAACAACAGAGACGCAACTGTCAGTTCAAATCCAATAGTGGTAGTGACAGTAGAAGTGTTAGCAGTAATGGAGAAGATTAATATTCGAAGATATTATTCGAGAAGTATAATTCAGGAGATAACTTTAGAAAGCGAATGATAGAGATGATGAAGAGCCTCAGCGACAGAGTTTTATTCACGATGCAATAAACTCTCATACTGTTATCACGAACACAGTTTACTACATAAATAACAGATGAATATATAGCATGTCTAACAGTTAAGTTAATAGGATCATGACTTTGAACTGGATTCTTACATAGACGATCATATGAACTGTGTTTCAAAAGTTGACATGCCCTTATTAATGAGCTACATGTAAGCATGAAAATATCATTTGCAAATGCAGAAAAGGATGTAGACGGTAGTAAGGCATAATTGCTCATTAACACTAAATGATATACTTTCTAATTTACTTATAAATGTTACCAATAATAAAATGCATATAACATTTTTTCTCACCCAACCCACTTCCAACTCAATAAATTTATCTTAATAAATAGAACTATTTTTATTATCGTAAGTTCTTTTGATTATTTTAGTTTAAAATTAATCCAAACATTAAATAGGGTGAGAGATTAATAAGTATTGGGAAAGAACAATCATTTTAATCAACATATCATAGATATCTTTTAAAATTTATCAATGTATGTATAGTTTACAAATAAATAACAATTGGCCGTAAATACCTAACTATTTACGGTTAAATGACTTTCACTGCAAAAATTTGGTCGCTAGGTTATTATTAGCTATCCACACATTTATGTTACAGAAATAGTAAACTGAAAATCCCTTGGGTGTGGCTGTATAATTAGTAATGGATCTTATAAAGTTATACTTTCAAATATTATCCAACCTACTTAAGCTTTGGAATACATGGGACTGGTTATTAGTGTTCTGAGTAGAAGAGAGAAATATAGGTCGGTTTGCTAAGATCGGTGTGTTATAAAACAATGCAGGTTAACAATAACAAATAGAGTGGTCAATAAAATGAGGCACGGATATTTTGACGATCGCAATAGGGTTTCCAGCCTCTGTAGACAGAAAGTAGTTACAGTCTTAGCATAATAATAGCAGTAACCGAAAATCGCATTTTCTCAACAATTAATTAAAAAATGATATCAATAAAGTAGCTCAAAAAGAATTTAAAGAGTTAATTAGGTGGATTCTTAGATCAACTCAATACATGAATTCATTCGATATTGTTTTTTCAAGAAAAAAATGAAAAGTTGATATTTTTTCAATTAGAAACTTTGTACTCTTCTTGCTTATTAGCTTTTTTCTAGACTGTTAGGTGTGTAGGATTTACTTTGTCCTACATATGTAATTCTAGAACGGTAAAAGCAATATTGGCGAGCACAGAGTCTATGGGAAAGCTACAGTTAGAAGATCGACTTCGCTTTAAACTTTATCTGTTTCTAAACATAAAAACAATTACACTAGTACAATGAATAAGGGAATTACAATTATCAAGTAAGACGAGCAAACGTACCGACCAATATAGTGTGTCTTATGGAAATGAGTACAGTTATGAGTCACATCAATATAATAAGATAATAATGTCAATCAATTTGTAGGTCATTTACCACAAAGAAGGTTTACAGACACGTCAGGTCAGATCATGTGGTGGACGCTTAAACCACAATCTGATAAGTTAGTTATGGCATAACTACAATTAGTTATAAAATAACTAACAAGGTGACTGAAGGTAGTCGGCAGGAAATCCTTGACTACCTATGTTTAGCGCTAGTTGGCGCTCATCAGTAAGGTATACTTGCAATAGTGAGGAAACCGATGCTCCCGGTGGGATTTGAACCCACATCACATTATGTCTACTTGGTTTTTGATTGATTTTTCTTAAGTCTCGGCTGGAAAAGAAAACTGAAATAATCGTATAATTATAATATTATCATCCTAAAGTGATATATTGTCAGAAATTATTGAAGATCTAAGAGATATTTACGATCTGTAATTCCTTTTTTTCATGTAAAATATTTTGCAAACACCTTGAAAGAAAATGTAGGTATGTAATACAAATAGTTGATGATTAAAATTAAAATTAGACTACACATCACTGCAATAACTAGTAATGAAAAATTTACAGTTTAACAAAATACTTCTAAAACTATGTGAATAACTACGATTATTAACTAAATAAGATCTTAGGATCATTTTAGGAAGAATATAAACCCTGGATTAAATAAGACTAAGAATAAATAAATCACTCTGTAATACGACAAAATATAAATTTAAGCGCGATAGTAAAATGTCGAAATGCATTTTTTGTTTTTTTGTATGTTTACTTACCTACATCCGTTATCCTTAATGGAGCATAAGCCACCGACTAGCATTCTCCAATCAACTCTCTTCAGCTCTACCTAAATGCTGTTCATTCTTTTTATGTCTTTTTCAAATTCTCGGCACAGGTTGTTCCATAGTCTACTTGTTTTCCCTTGTCCCTAAGGGTTCCAAGTTTAGGGCTTGCCTTGTGATGCCGTTGGGTGATTTCTATAATTTGTCCTATTCATCTCCAGTGCTGTTTCCTGATTTCTTACTGTGATGGAATCCGGTTTGTTCTCTGACAAAGCAGGTTGTTACTAATGGCATCTAGCCAACGGATCCATAGTATTTGGCGTAGACAACTGTTAATAAACACCTGTATCTTGTGAACTATAGCTTTCCTGGTTCTCCAAATTTCCGCTCCATACAATAAAACTGTTTTGATGCTTGTATTGAAAATTCTGACTTTGATGTTGATTGATAGTTGTCTTGAGTTATAGATATTCTTCAACGACAGAAAAGTTGCATTCGCTTTGCTAATCTGTCTTCATATCTGCATCAGACGCAATTTGTTTGTCGATGGTGCTGCCCAGATATTTGAAAGTTTCCTCATCCTCCAAAGCCTCTCCATCAATTGTAATTTGGCTGGTGCATATTGCGTCACATCTAAGGCTCTTGCTATTCCCCTCGTGTATATTTAGGCTACTGATGCAGAGGCTGCTACGTTACTGACCTGCATCTACATTTGTTGTTGTGGGATATGTTGACAACCTAAAAATACTTATATTGCAATTGTTTTCAAACAAAACGACTTCACATCGTGTTGAATACCTTGTTTAGAATTATTTCAATAAAATTCACTCTCTACCTATCTTTCTTTGTGTTCATAATAGATTCAACAACTCAAAGATCAACTAGCTCACGAAACAAATAAACGTCAATTACTTTACTTAAAGAATCCATCATCTGTTAATCAAAGTCAGCCAAGTTTAACAAGTTATGGAAGTTCAGTCACTACAACAGGATGTGATTATGCTGAAATGAAATCTGCAATAGATAATAATCATCAACAGGTAAGAAGTTATGAACGTAAATGACTAAAGTTAACTTGAGTAATAATTTTTGAAGTATACTTTGATTTTGTAAAACTCACGAAATTTGAATCATTTACACTGTATACTGATTTGTGCAAAAACAGCAAAACCTATATTACATCAAACATGCCATAGATCATCAATGGAACTAGGAATAAATGAAAATTTCGGTGGAGTTTAGTTCTCTAAACTATATGATTTGATCATGGAGCTTTTAACATCTTTGTGAACAACATCATCAGCACAAAATTCAGGTAGAAGTCAATTTAAATTATTTAAAATCATCTATACAGTTATAGATTTCAAGCAACTTTAAAAAGCTTACAACTTGAAATTTGATATAATTCAATAAAAAGAAAGGTAAACTGTTAGACGATCTTCATTATGACAAGTAATGTGATTCGAAAGACTGTATATTTTTCGAACCACTGTATAGTTGAGGATGTCATTCAAAATTTTCGGAGTATGATACATAGATAGATAAAAAAAAAGTTCCAGTCCAAAGACGAGAACATAAATTCAAAATTAGCTTGGACACACTAAAGGGAATCCATGAGTAAGAACTCATTTATTTTACTTTCGACGAAACTAAGACCAATGTAGATGTACAACCATCAACATTATCATCAGAAATAATCCCTGTTAAAAAGTTTGAAGTTCAAATTCATACACACAAACTCTACAAAGACTAAAATTCTGACAATTACATTTTCAAGTTTGTAACAAGTTCTGTAATGAAATAGGCAAAAACAAAATTTTGAAGTGTAAGCTGATTTTGCATGTAATCATATCCAGTGCTAAAACATAATACTTTTATCATTTTTAGGATTCATTCATGATGGGGTTGTACAAGCCAACTACTGCACCATCTAGATATGATCCATATTATTATCAAGTGACAGGATCAATACCTGCTAGACTGAATCGATCAACAGGATCAAATTTATTAATAAAACCAAGAAGATCGTTTGTTGAACCAAGACTATATCAATCAACAACAAAAATTAACAAACAAAATCTCTCAAACCGCTATCACAGTGATGATAGAAATCAACAACAACAACAACATCCAGAAGAAAATATTACAACAAATACAAATATTAGTCCATTGGAACAACCTTCTTTAACCAGAACACCAATTGCTGCTAGCCGTTCTACATGGCATGAGTCGAGGGATAGTGCAGCTACAATAAACCGAAGTACAAGTGATTCTACAATACGCCGAATTGAAGATAAATCATAAGATTAAAATGACGATTAAGAGTAATCGTACATGTGATTTTTTTTAGCCCATATATCATCATTACCTTGAAAAAATAAATCAACTCAATCAATAATTAGATTGTCGTGAATATGAAGTATGGAATTAACTGCTAAATATTCCTATTGTTAGTTTTTTTAACTAACTAAATCATGATGAAATAATGACTACAATGTGCACTAAAACCCTTTTTTTATCCGATAAATACTATTACTATAAACGTCACTAACATCATCTCACTTTGTTTTAAAGCAAATTTGATGTACTGCTTTTGAAATAAACACAAACTCAGAGATTAATTCTGCAAATATTATTATTATTATTACCGATACTACTGTTATTTCGAAAATATAAACTACACTGTTACAGCACACATTTATGTACACATTATTTACAGCAGTGTGAACAAATATAGCGAATTATAAACTATTTTAAATCATGTTACTCTGTAATATACCTGAACCATTTGATTAAATATTACTTTGATAAAATCTCTTGTCCTTATACTTTTACTCTTAGTTAGTCACAAACTATTCTAATCTGATTATCATTTAACAAGAAAAAAAATTCCATTTCTATTACGAATAATTAGACGATGTTAGGTTAACTCCATCCCCACTATTCTGTCCTTTCCCCTTTTTTGAATCCTCTAATTTTTATTAACATAGATAGTGTTCGGTTTATATTCACTACACGAACGTGTACAAATGTGAAATAACGATTATCGAGAAGTTTTTGTACGATACCCGACTGTTCAAAACATTTTTTAATTATTGCCTAGTCATTATTTGGCATTTATTTTAACAATTCATGAAAAAGTTAAATCGTTTAATTCAATCTTTTTTTGTTGTTTAATTTCCAAACAAAAAACATCATTACACTTTAAAATATTCTTATATTTTATTACAAGCTATGCTTGTTATAAACTAGGATTTTGGTTTATTATAGATGAATTCAGGCCGAATGTCAAGCATCTGAATACAACCTGGCTGTACATAGGTGATGAGCTTGTTTAAATCGTAGTAACAGTATCATATCAATAAAAAATGTTTTCTTATTTAAAAATTACTTAAAGATTTATCGTTAAAACTATGATATTCCTAACCCAATATGAGATCCACTTTCAAAAACCACTAACACTGTCAAATTGAAATTGGTATGCGCAGTCAGACTTAGTCCTATAGTGATCCAAAGTTTCCGCCGTGTAAAATCACAATCACTTCAGTTCTGGAGCGTAAAATAAGATTTTAAATGTCCTGTCCATTTGTTTAATTTGCTTATTTGCCATCCCAAAACGAAATTCCACGCGATTCAGTTTTCCTTTCAATGGTCGAAATCTAATATGCGACAGTGAATTCCGGCAACAGAGCAATTAAATCTAGAAATATAGGTTTTACCAAGTTATTTTGCAATATGGACGAGTCTTAATAGCTACTACAAAATCCTAAGCCATAAGTTTTATGAAAATGAAGGCAAATGCTTTTACGCTACTAGTTTTAGTAAGGGTCTTGAAGATGGCAATGTTTAGGTCTAAACTAAAGTACAGAGACTAGAGTGTTTCATTAGATAAGGGATCTCGAAGACATTACTAAGACGATCTTGTAAACACAACGTCGAACCAATTATCTTCTAACGGATATAAATACCATCTGCACGTAACGCGTAAGTCTACACTACATCAGGTTGGTCCAAAGGCTACATTAAGCAGTGAGTAGAAACTGAAAAGTTGTGTGTGTATTTATTACGTTAGTAGGTTTCGCAGTGGTAAAACTCAGGAAATAACCCTATATTTTAAATCCAATTAGGCGATATAGGGTTTGGTTAAAATTAGCCAGTTATACTGTCTTAGATTAATGAACATTGAAGAATTACAGGAATGCTAACCGTTTGGAGTGAGGTAATTAAACCCTTTATATGGTGTGTACGTGAAAGTAACAAAGCTTAATATATGCAGTGCGACTTCACTGTTTAGTAGCCTTCTAAAGACGATCCCACTGTTTAGTAGCCTTCTAAAGACGATCCGAATACCAGAAACCTACAGACACTATGTGATATAACTTTGAGGACAGGAACTGTAGACGAAAGCAAGTTATGACTTCAATAGTGAAAACCAGACAAGTTCCAACAGAAAGGGGCTTTCACTTGATTGAGAAATTATCAGATGCATACTGTTATTGGAAAGGTGCCAGTACTGGAAGCCAATAAATCTACACACGAGTATTGTTAACCCATGATATCACAATAAGCTAGCAGTGAATTTGTCATTTATAACTCCAAGTAAAACTAGATACTAGAAACAACCGTGCAACATGGACGGAGAAAGGTTTGTCAGTAAACTTGGATGCTCGAAGTTATTTTCATAAACCAAGACTGAAGTTAACAAAATTATATATCCATCCAAAACCCCACACACTATTAAAACATATTTATTGAACCCGTTTAAAAAGCAAACATTCAATGAGACTATATACAAATACGATGGCAGAGATATGTTCACATAATACCAAGTGTTAACGACGTTTCCGAGACTTGGATATCCTAAGTTACTGACATGTAGTAAATTACGAACAAACTTTTTCTTTAATTTGTCTTTTTTCCGATCTTTCCGTTTCTTTTTTGTCTGCTTTAAAGGCAACTTTTTATTGACAAAACCAGCATTGCGCTATAAAATTTGTTTGACACAAACTCGGTACTGATTTAGCAATACTTACGTCAAAAGCAAGCTCCTCTGCCTCACGCTTAGCCTTTGCTCTGTTCTGCATTAGTTCTTTGTAGTTGATGTACGGGTTTTTCGGTTTCTTAGCTCCCATTTTAAGAAGTAAAGACTTGCGTGTTTCCTTTCGTTCCACACCTGATTGCATTGATATATTATACCTTAATATATCCAGAGGAATGTCCCCTAATTTGACAAACACTTCCTCACTTTCATTCTAACATAATATTAAGTAATAATTGCAAGACTAACCTACCTGATTTTTAGCATTCTTCTTTTCACACTTGACCTTCATTTTACAGGGACCGCGATATCAGAATATAGCTATCCAATATCCAATATCTTTTTCGCGGGTTGGTGTAAAACAATCGATTTCTTTGATCTCGATTCTTGTTCTTTCGGTACGTTTCTAGGTGTTCGGTAGTGTCCAATGAATGGGATCTAGCCACTCGACTGCCTGGGTCTAGTCAGTTGGCAGTTGTTTGCGAGTTTGTATGTCATGAGCTTTGAATGAATACGTTTGTTTCAGGGCAGTAGGGTTTCTGGATACCAGCAGCTATCACATTACCAGACCGGACATCATTTAGTTGCATTGTGAAGAATAATAAGGCGAAAATTCTAATGGTAATATGAATAAGATTTCGGAACTAAGAAATACATAGATAATTTAGTTTAGTAATTGGTAGTGAAGTTTGTGAGAGAGGACTGAAGTGTAAACGAGGGAGGGGAGACAGAGATAAAAGGAGAGATAGAGTAAGTCAGTGATCCGAGGAAATGGCAATAATAACAACTAGCAGGTCCCAAGACATGCATCAGGCACAGCTCGTCCAAGAGGGAGATGATAATCCGTATGTGAGTACGTGATTATAATGTCTCTTCCTAAAGCTGTCCACTGAGAGGGCTGTGGTCACTGCCGCTGGGAGTGTGTTCCAAGCTGCAACGACTATCAACGAGAAAAAGTGTGCACGAACCTTAGTATTCACTCTTTGATGCTCAATTTTTCGAGGGTTGCCTCGAGGGTGGTGCATCGGTAAGATGCTTACGTTGGGATGGTTTGGCGTGCATAATATGTTGTGTAGAATCCAAACTGAGGTTTGAGTTTAGGAATAACTGCTCAGGAAGTTTGGATACGCGTCTTGAAATCCAAAACAAGTGATCCGGGTAAGTAACGGTTCTACTATTAATCATAAATATAAATATACATCATTACCTATGTTGAAGCGTGAAGGTTACACGTCCAAACGAACTCCAGATCAGAAGATTGTATATGGGATATCAACGTTTATTAATAGAAAATCGAGTGATATTAGAATAATATCACGTGTTCAGCTTGTACAATCGATGATTACACGAGACGATCGTTAGATCCGCAGGGATGGCGTGGGTGGCGCTCGAAAAGTGACTTTTAGTACAAATAAACAAATGATATACAATAAAACAGTTAATGTTACATATGTTCAATAATAAGTATTTGTACGTCAGTAATCGTATTATTTCGACGAAATAGTTCCACTACAGGAGCCCCCCCCTAGAAAGGGTTTTACACTTTCGATATGTAGCGGCTTCGTTCAGGCCACTCGTCGGCCAATATTCGGTTGACGGGCAGAATGGTTGACGACAGGAAGCGACTGATGAAGCTCGAGTTGTCACCGGGAGTTTGTCCGCTGCCGTGCCAATAATTATGCGCCAAGTTCGTCCACCGGGTTAGCATACCACACCAGCGTGGCTCGTATCCAGTGTCTGATAATTGCGTTCGTAGGGGTCCGGACCAAATAAAGCTGCAGACGTAGGACGGAACCAGATTGAGCGAAAGAGCCAGAAACGACCAGTGCGAAACCATTCGTATACCAGATATATTCGTCACCAGAAAATCGACTGAGTGCATTGACTAGAGCGTGGGTGATCAGGCCAGCTTTCGCCAAGGTTGACTGAAGTCGACGGTACCAACAGGACAATGGTCGGAGGTATAGGCTCGGGATAAAAAAAATCAAAGAAAAGGAAGAAAAGTGTAGCATGCATGTAGTATGAGTGTAAAATCCTATGCCGAACCCGTGGTTGATTGGTAGTTATTCGAGAAAGCGTACAGGTAGGCGTACGCGGCGACCGGAACGCGAGACAGTAGCCTCGTGCGTACCTTGTGAGCCTGCATTCTCATCCGCAGTCAAGTGCGGCGTGGTCTGCTGATCTGGACGTGAGACCGGAGTCTCATCCGTAGATAGTGCAGATGGTGCGTGCTGCTGACTGGGACGTGAGAATGAGGTTTCTGATTTCGCTAGCGTGGGATCCGGGGTAGTTTTGAGGATCCCGCTAGGTGTAGCATTGGGTCTCGGATTAGCAAGTAGGGCACTGTCATCGACGTGTGCTGGCTTGAGACGATCAATGCTAACTACCTCGACGCGGCCATGTCGAGCAACCTTGAAGGTCTTTTCGTGACGAGAAATCACGTGAAAAGGTCCTTCGTAAGGTTGTTGCAAAGGTTTGCGTACCGAATCAACTCGAATGAAAACATGTGAGCAGGTAGATAACTCTCGGGGGAGAGCGACCTGTCGATGTTGTATTCGAGTTGACACCGGAGGCAGTGCTCGCATAAATGCAGACAGTCGTTGGACGTAGTCTGATTTATTGAAGTTATCACTGCTCCGTGGTGTGAAAAATTCCCCAGGCAGACGCAATGTCGTGCCGTATACCAATTCCGCGGCGGAACATTGAATATCTGCCTTTAAGCTCGTTCTGATGCCTAGAAGGACGAGCGGTAAGGTTTCGTACCAATTATTGTTTTCGTGTGCTCGAAGAGCGTTTTTGAGTTGGCGATGAAACCTTTCGACTAAACCATTTGAAGCTGGGTGGTAGGCGGTAGTGCGTATGCGCTCCGTACCAAGCAGCCGAGTTAGCGAGGAGAATAGTTCGGACTCGAATTGTTGTCCTCGGTCAGTGGTGACAGTCGAGGGACAACCGTACAGAGCTATCCATCGTTCTACGAAGCGGTGAGCAACTGTTTCCGCCGTAATAGAAGTGATGGGAATAGCTTCGGGCCATCTTGTAAAGCGATCAATGCACGTGAGTATGTGATCATACCCATGCGATGGTGGTAATGGTCCTACAATGTCAATATGAACGTGATCGAAGCGAGCATCAGGCGTAGCAAATGTGCCGATGGGGGCGGCTACGTGCCTGTGCACTTTTGATCGTTGACATTGTAAGCATTGCTTTACCCACATACGGACATCTTTGTTCATGGAAGGCCAGACGTATCGTGCAGCGATAAGACGTAATGTAGCTGCGATACCTGGATGAGACAAACCATGAAGGGCATCGAAGACGAGACGACGATAAGCAGAGGGTACGATGGGTCGAGGAAGACCATTAGAGGTATCACATAGGATAGTGCCTGAGGTAGTAGCTAGGGGCACTTCCTGACACTGAAGGGATGTATTCTGTTGTGCTTCTGAACAAGAAGGATCGTTTGCTTGGGCGGCGGCCATAGCAGGAAGATCGAGCACTGGTGAAGTAACTGCATTCATTTGAATACGTGACAAAGCATCAGCAACGTAGTTCGACTCGCCTTTAATATGACGAAGGTCTGTCGTGAACTGAGAGATATAGTCCAAATGTCTGCACTCTCGCGGTGAGTAGCGGTCAGATTTTGTATGAAGCGCATACGTTAGGGGCTTATGGTCGGTAAAAAGGATAAAGTTACGACCTTCTACTGCGTGCCGAAAATGTTTGATGGCACAGTAGGCTGCTAGCAGTTCGCGACCAAAAGCGCTATATCTCACCTCCGTGGTAGTAAGGCGTCGTGAGAAAAATTCGAGAGGTTGCCAACTTCCAGAGATGTTTTGTTGCATGACGGCTCCTATAGCGAAATCAGATGCATCAACCGCTATACTGAGCGTGGCTGATGGGTCGGGATGGGCGAGGAGCGTAGCTTGAGCTAAAGCTTTTTTAATTTCGGAAAATGCAGTACGTGCGTCATCGTTCAATTCTAGCTTACGTGGATTCCCGCGAAGTAGATCGGTTAGTGGTCGTAACTGTTCCGCGGCGTGAGGAATGAAACGTCGATAGAAGTTGACCAAACCGAGAAATGCCTTCAGTTCTTTGAGTGAAGACGGTACAGTGTACTATGTGATTGTACGTACTTTATCTTCACATGGCAAAATACCCTCATGCTTTATAACGTGACCCAGAAATTTTATTTCTGCTTTTCCAAGTTCGCACTTATCAAGGTTGATTAGTATTCCATTATCCGAAAGACGTTGGAATAAGAGTTTAAGATGTTGATAATGTTCATCTACGTTTGATGATGCGATTAACAAGTCATCAATATAGACGTGAACAAAATCAAAGTCTCGTACTATGCTATCGATAAACCTCTGGAAAGTTTGAGCAGCATTCCGTAATCCAAATGGCATTCGTAGGAACTCAAACAGACCGAAAGGAGTCGTGACAGCAGTTTTCTCAATATCCTCAGGAGCGACTGGGATCTGATGGTATGCCCGTACCAGATCGATCTTGGAATAGATAGTCGTGCCCTTGAGTGATGCCGTGATGTCGTGTATGTGGGGGATGGGGTAACTATCGAAACGCGTGACTACATTTAGTGCTCGGTAGTCGCCACATGGTCGCCAACTTATCCCATCTTTTTTTCGAACCATGTGGAGTGGTGAGGCCCATGGACTGTGAGAAGGACGAATAATACCAGTAGCTAGTAAATTGTCGAACTCACGTTTAGCGAAAGCTAATTTGTCCGGTGCCAGTCGGCGAGGCTTTGCCGTGACTGGTGGTCCGCGGGTGACGATGTGGTGTTCCACATGTCGGGTCACCGACGGAGTCTCCTCGAGTGGTTTCGTTAATTGGGGGAATTTTTCGAATAAAGCGTGGAAAATGCCATCACGCGAATGAAATAAACCTGTTATTCGGTACGCATTTGTATGAGCTCGAAAACCCATAAATTTGCTGTTCGACGAAGTATCGATTAGCTGCAGCCTACGTGAATCGACTAGCAATTCGTAGTGCTGTAGGAAATCGATACCGAGTATAGCTGTGGGAACATCGGCAATGATGAACGTCCACAGATACTGTCGTCGGTTGCTCAGGTTGACCGATAGCTGTCGTGTACCATAGGTAGGAATGACAGTGCCATTCACAGCGCGTAATCGAATTATTGTAGGTTGTAACTTGCTGCTACCTAATGGTACGACAGAAACTTGGGCACCGGTGTCAACTAGGTACCTAGCGTTCGTGCGGATATCGTGCACGTAAAATAAACGGCCAACCTGAGGTGAGTGGCCGGCGAGTAGGGCCGCTTTTACTCGCCGGCTTG